ACGTTCCTGCCATCACAGGCAGGGGGAGTGGATCTTAAAGGCATTAGTATGAAATCCAAGGTACTGAGTCAAAGAGATGAAGAACCAAACAGGACACACTGAGGTTCTTTAAAAAGTTCCTGCTCCAGGTGGCTGAAGGTTTTGCGATTTTAGGTACATTTTTTTTAAATCATTCACATTATTTTATCGTGATGTTGTATATGACCTGTGTTCTTTTATTCTCCGACAAGACGTGGGCAGAGTTAAGAGTTTAAAAATCGCTCCCAGGAACACATCTGTTTACCTCAAATCACAGTGACTTCTAGGTTGCAGTCTGTGCTAACGTGGAAGTAAAGGGGGAGGGGGGGGGCAGAGGGGGTAGGAACATGGAGGAGATGGATGGTGTTGCAAGGAGCAGAAAATGGACAACGGTGATGATTTATCAGGGACTTGGCGGAGGAGGGGTGTTATTGGGGTTTGCAGCCTGAGGGGGGAGACGTTCAGATCAGCTGTCTGCAGTCATGAGCCTGCTGCTCTCCACCATTACATCATCTGCCCCGTGGAGAGGATGTGGACAAAGAGAGGCAGCAGCCCAGCCTCAGCTCCTACAGTGGAGCCTATTGTACAACAGTCCCTGAGCACTGATGCTGCAGAACTCTGCCACTCTTTTATTGCTGCTCAAGGGTTTCTCCAAACAACACCTCGTTTGGTGAGAAAACTCTGAAACATGCAATAAGCAATAAAAGACTCCAATTTAGTCAAACTCCCCCCACAGGAGGTCAGTGCTGAGCCTCGAGTGCAAGAACAGCAGAATGTTTATTTTTGGTAGCGTACAGTTTCTCTGTCAGTGAGTGATCCGTGACACTCGATCTGACCAGATCCCGCAAAAACTATCCCAGAATCAAGAGGATATTTTTAACGACATCCAATATTTCCTGTGTTTACCAAAAAAAAAAAAATCAATATGAAATAATTGAGAATGGATTTCCTTCAGGGATTAGTTTACAGAGTGATGTTGCATCATCTCCATTTAGAACACACCAGTCGAGGCACAGATCCTCTGAGGCAAAGAAAAAAACTTCACATTCCTGGTCCTGAGATAAACATCTCTGCTAATGGATGAGCAGAAAGTCTGAGGAGGTTGTTCTGACTCTGTTTTAAAATGGTAAAAAACAGAGAGTGAGTTCACAAACGTGGAACGTTAGAGTCGACCTCAACCTGGTTTTCGTTGGCTTTTTGAGGGCAGCAGAAACAAACACCAAACTGCCATGTCATCAAATTTTAGAATGAGTCATGCTTAAGTTTACCATCCAACAGAGCTGCTCCAGTACAAACTGTACCAACAGATGTTTGCTACACATTTTAAATCTTCTTGAAGATTGAAACAGTCTTTCATCTGCTTTGTGTTGCCTTCTGTCGACAAACTTTCGGTAAAAGTGCAACCCCAAAAACATGTCCTATGCTTTACTGTGGTTCCCAACGTCATTTCCAAATGACTGCTTTGAAAACAGACTCTGATTTATAAAAACAGCCAATATTTTACGTTAGCTAACAATAGCTAAGCCGATATTTTACGTTAGCTAACAATAGCTAAAAGTTAGCACAGAAACACCTAAGCAATAATAAAAAAAAAGAAATCTGTTATGACTGTTGAAAGAGGGAAGGAAAATTCCCCAAAAATAGTTCCAAATACTCCACATGTATTGAACAGTGGCTAAAAAAAACACTACAAAAACACTAGAGACAGGCCAATAATAAAAAAATATGGTAATAATAATATTAATAATGATGATACAAATATCACTCCACGTGGGCCAAACAGAAACTGTCAACTCTAAGGGGCCATGTTTGTCCCCAGACTGGACTTTGGACATATACACTGTTACCACAGTTACCATAGTAACAGAAGGCGACGGCAGCTGGATCTGGTCTGACTGTCGGTCACACGGCTGGTGCTGTGGTTAAAGGCTGTGACCAGTAACATTAGTACCTAATGTGCGTCTTAAAGCCTCATAAAGGCTTGTAATGTGTCCTCTGTGTCATAAATGGCTGCTCTGTGTGGAGAAAGCACAGCATGGTCGTTGTTAACATTTCACACCTCAAGTATGAGCGCTTTATATTTTACGTGCCTTAAGGGAAATACATGACCGGACGTAGAATGTCTCCACACAACGTGGTCACAAACAACAACCATCAGCCCTGGAGGTCATTAAGCCGAGGCCTCCAGTCTGTGGTGCTGGTGGATGTGCGAGTCAGCTGAGTGTGTTCCCGCTCACTGATGAAGAATAACGATGTGAGGCTACACCATGTGACTACAGCATGACAGCAGAAAACTCTGTCAGAACAATCATGACATTTTTCCCTCTTTTCTTTGTAACTTAAAACCAATCATCATCGTTCCACGTCTTCAGAATGGAGGCTTATTTCACAGTTATCCAAAAAAAGGCTTTTTATAACCTTCAAGTTTAAGTTTCATGAAGGTCGAGGTTTGTGATGATCTGGAAGATGATCTGGAATTCATATGGATTTATTTACCAAGATATAAAGTATATTTGTTTTGGGACAGAACACTGTAAATATGATGCATGTCTATACAGTATATAAAAAAAACCCCGATCCAGTCCTATTTAGAGGAAAATAGAACATAAAACACAGTTGCAGAGGGTGGTATCCAGGTTTCTCCAGCTGTATCTCCAATTTTATTTGACAGATTAAAGGTTTTTTTTATTGATCTACTTTAAGGCCACATGGAATCTCATTTGTGGCTGTAGTAGCAGCAGTGGCTCACAGGAGCTGGCACTGGGAACAAAAATGTTTTAATAAAGTCTGGTTACGTCTGGCTATCATTAAAATATTGCCAGTTTGCATTTTTTCCTAAACATTCACAGGCTCCTATTTTAGAAAATATTAAAGGTACAAACAGCAGTTTAAGTGAGTGATCTTTTAGGAAACAGCACAGGTTAGCTTCATGTTGTTTAAATTGTGGGAGTGGACATAACTGCTGGCTCCTAAACCTACAACATGACAACTTCCTGATGTTTCAGTGCGTGGACAAAAGAGCAGTGGTGCCGAAAACATGACGTACAATACAATGTTTTGTGGTCAGTGAGATATGATGACAGACAGAAGATAAACTTTCCATAAAATATAAAAAGTAGAGGACTGACCTGGTCACTCAGGTTCTCTCCCTTCTCAAACATCATCTTCAGGCTGTTGAGTGGCACACTGGGTTTTTCACATTCAGGCACCTCAGCTGCTGCTGCTGCTGCTGCTGCCCTCTGCAGGCCCTGTGAGTCTCTACTGGCCTCCATGTCGCTCAGGTCTTCTGGTTGTGCCGCCTGGTGTTGACTGATTGGAGAGTGTGTCTCTGGATCACTGTCCTCACCCTGGGAGAGAGAGCTAGACTTCAGGACGTCACTCCTAGGCTCCGTCAGTTCCCTGGAAGTAGGCTGGTGGCCTGGTGGGTGGGTCTCAGGGTTGTTGGGACGGCTGGGTGCGTTCTCCTGAGTTAGGGTTTTATGGCTGGATGACGGCTGCTGCTGCTGCTGCTCCCAGCGTTTCTTTAAAACACTTAGATTCCCGCTGCGAAGTGTTGGAGACACAGGTTCTGCAACCTTTGGAGAGAAATGAAGGAGACAACCACGCCTTTAATTTCTCTGAGAAATTCAAAACCTGACATGTAGAGCGTGACTCAGAGTCTAAGGTTTTTCCAAATGCAGAAACAGTAAAAGCGGAAAAAAAATTTGATACCTCCATAGGGTCATCTCATCATTACTATTTCTGACCACAACATTTTAAGGCTTCACTTGTAGAACCTCAAAAAGTGTTAAAAAAGTTGCATCAATATAGACTAAAATCTCCAAAATAAAATAAAGACAGTTTAATGCAACACAAGTCAGCAAAAGTGTCGTTGGCTCAGCAGTTCATTCATTATAAAAAAAAAAGCCTTAAAGTCAACATGATGTGGTATTAATATAAGGATTGCAGCCCATCAGCATGAGTCAACCGACACATAAATCAGAGTAAATTAACTGGTGAGTAGTTTTCTATTAGTTAAGTGAATCAATGAACCAAATCACATGTCTGTCACACATGGAAAAAAGAAACTTTGAAGAAAACAGTATTCAAGTGTCTCTCTCTCTCTCTCTCTCAGTACAGTAACCTCTCCATGAGAAATAACCATTAGCGTTAGCTCTTACGTGAAGCTCTGTGACTGACTGAGGGATGCTGTCCAAACTCCCAATCTGTTTCTACTTTTCCTATTAGATTCCATCATCCTGACAATGAAACTGCTGAATGAAACTAAAAATAACACCAACTCCAAAAACAACAGCAGCAAAAAACACCCAACAACACTGATTTAACGCTGGTTCCGAGCCACAACTTTTAGAATAAGACAGAAATGCAGCAAAGACAAAGAGGTGCTCGGCGTGCACGCCTATCAGCCCCGACCTGCTGTACACAGAACACAAAGGCAAAATGAAGCGCTGAGGAAAAAAGACCCGGCTTTTGTTTAAACAAAGTAGAGAGCATGAAAAACCTGAAGAGACCTGAAGGTGATGACCCAGCTGTCCGGTTGGCGATGTGCGTTTGCGTGAGTTTGCGTTAGTGCGTGTGGGTGTGTGTCGGTGCGGAGTGCGTCTGCTGGCCGGCTGGAAATGTTACAAGCTGTCCCAGATGTGAGAGCCTTGAGAATGCATCTGAGCGGCATGAAGTAACTAGCCCACCCCCTACAACACGGAGAGGGGAGGAAGGAGGGAAGGAAACCGAGAGGGGAGTGAGGGGGCGAGGGGCGGAGAAGGAAAGAAAATCAGAAACAGAGAGAGAGAGAGTCAGTGAGGGAATGAGGGAAAATAAGTCCAGGAAATGAGTAAAAGGTAAAAGGGAGAGAAACTTAAATAGAGGTTAGTACAAAGAGAAACCCACGACGACTGAACCAGGTCAAATGATAACCAGCTCCTGTTATCTGGTCTGGATCACAGCAAAGTCTGATGTTAATGTTTGGAATTAAAGCAGAGAGATAATCTGATCACTTCTCCTGAAAAAGGTCTGTAAAATTCAGGAGAAAGAAAGATTAAGATTAAAAAAAAAGAAAGTTGATTCCCTGAGGATAAAGATTAAGATAAAAAAAAAGAAAGTTGATTCCCTGAGTTGGACTGTCATTCATTGGTCAACAGCGTATGACAGAACTACATGTTGGGCGTGTCCTTATCTTTCTACTCCAGTGTACGTGTCTCTATCTACGGTGTCCACTCCAGTGTGTGGTCAAAAATGGGTGCCAACATCCTGGGTTTGTTTTACACCTATTGTCTGCCTCGTTCTCTCATTCTCAGCAGCAAAAGTCAGCACAGTCGGGGGGATTAATCATGCAGGAGGCAGGACATTCGACCACTCAGTCTCTCAACCCTCCGCAGAGTCTCCTGCTGAGTTCTCACATGAGCTCACTCAGACGTTAACCAGATATTACACCAGGGAGTTTGCAGAGTCATTCCTGAAAAATGTCATGAGTGACCTCCGTAGTAGCTATCTGCAGTCAAACATAAAGGATAACTGTGAGAGAAAAAAATTCTTGTCATTTAGCAACAGTTTGCAAGGAGAAAAGGGATTCTTGTCATTTAGCAACAGTTTGCAATCCAATAAAAATAACAGCAGATATACCTGTAAGAAGAAAAAAAGCCCTCTGACCCAGTAACTCCCCCACTGACCTCACAGAGACAGCAGTAAAATGCCTCCCCAAACAGATCAGGTGGGAGGGAGGCATCTTATTACCACTGCAGCACAACAGCAGATGCCTTTCAGTACACTGCTGATGTGTGTGTTTGCATGTAGATCACAGGCCAGTAAAATAAGACCCAGTGCCTTTGTCTGTCCCATGATGCCCTCAAATATAAATAACCCCCTCCCTAATCTGTTACAACTGGAAATCTGTTAAAAAAAAATCTGTTAAAAAAAAATCCTTAAAAAAAAAACTTAGTATCACATATTTTTCCTTAAAAAAAACTAAAAAAAAAAAACTTAGTATCACATATTTTATATATGTCAAAGTTATATGCAGCTACTGTACACACACCTACCTTATATGCACACATATACATTTACAAATATAGACACATATCCTGTATAAACATATATATCTACATGTGTTTATCCCTACTCTACCATACTTCCTGTGTAGCTTAAGAGAATTTACTGAAATACTGTGCTGCTTCATTTAAAGGTTTTTTTTAAAATATTATTTAACATTATATATTTAAGGAAACATGTTGAACTAGCACTGGTCCTCCTAATTATGAAACTTAATTGTTGTTATTCAAAAATAGCTATGAAATATAACAGCGTGCAGTGATAAACTTTCTTTGTCACATTTATCTCTTCATTCATGTCTTAGATTTGACAAACTGATTTAGTTCAGTAAAAAGTAAAATGGACAAAATAAAAAAAGGTGGATTCCCCATATTAATTACATTGACCTACCATTTTCTTCTTGTCTGCATTTCCCTCCTCTGCTGCCATCTGATACCTGAGGACAAAGACATGTGGTGGGACAAACAGTAAGAACCAGAAGACACTAATGGAGAATAATGGCAGAGCAGGTATGTGCACAGATACACCCACACTCAGGAAGTTAGTCTAAACTGTCCCTGCACTTTTACAAAAACAGATGATTCCACGGGTTACGGTGAATGTGGACGGAAAATTTTCAACCCACTCAGTGGGTTTTATGTGTTTCCATTAATGTTAAAACCCAAACAGAAACCTGGTCATTTTTGCCTCAGCCAACAATTGGATTAATTACACACATTAACAGAATCTTCAGATTATCTTAGCAACAAAATGACAAAACCGTTGTTTTTTTGTGCCAGTCGTCATCATTTAAATTGTTATTTTTGTAGTTATTTATATTTTGAATGTATTTGCTTTCTTAAATTGTTCTTACAGGAATATGACCTGTAAGTACTGAGTACTGTAAGTATTGTTTCACAGTTTTTGTAACTAATATCCAGGTTATGTGAGTTTTCTTTCCGATGAGATCCAAATTATCAGGGCGTAAATAATCAGTTCTTCACAGTGTCTACAGTGAAAACTTTCCACCCACAGTCACAGAGCCGCACATTCTCCCAGTGGTCAAAGAGTGTAAGTGCAGAGAGGAACCATCCATTCATGAGCCAAGTTTTAAAAACTACATAAACAAAAGTATTGGGCTAGATACTGCTGGAGGTTTTACTATAAACATTAGACAAGGTTTTAATGTCAGTTTGTAGCTTTTATGCAGCTCAGTTTGTACTCTGTCTTAGCAGATTTCAACAAGATCCCAAGCTTTTGACACCAACTCACACAGCGGTGACTAAAGCTTAGTTTAAACAGAGAGCCTTAAACAGTCTGCTCTGATAAAGGCAGAAGTACAAAGAGTAATCAACACTATTTACTCTCAAAACACCCCACAGGTGTTGGGATATATTTCAATGTGATTTAAATAGAATATCTCAACCATGTGATGATGTTCATTTGCAATTCATTCTCACCGATGGTCAAAGTGGAGTGAACGATTTTTTTTTGGACTATGGCTGAAAAACCCAGGCACATAACACACTTCATTGCTCCCCAACCAAATTCAACAGGTGGTCAAAATAACATTCCCTTGGCTTTTGTCAGCCTCAAACATCCTGTTGGCAGCACGGGACATCAGCCCACAGAACACATTTCCAATGCTCCAGAATCTGGTGGCCGCGTGCGTCAAACCACTTCAGTACTCAGTGATGTCAGCTGCGCTTGTCGACGTTCGTTCATGGAAACCAATGGCAGTTAGTTGTGTTGATGTTAATAACAGAGAAGGTTTGAACCTCTGGAGTTGCTTAGTCAGCAGAGTGCCACTGAACCCAACTCTGGAACTTTGTACTGTATGGCCTGTCTCTAAGTGACTGAGTTACAGCTGTTTCTGAAACCCTACACTTTGCAATAATATCATTAATGGTTCACTGTAGTGAATCCAGGAGGAAAGACAGCCGGTAAGGACTCATCTTGGAATCAGGGACTACTTCAATAAATTGATAATAATAATCATCAATAATAATTATCTTTCACGGATAATAGTGTATTTTTGGGGCTATTTAAATTTGGGGCCTTGGGCCACATGCGCCCCACACGCGACCTCAAAAACTGAGACCCTCGCAATTGGCGAGTAATCCAAAGTTTGCACAGCAAAACAAAGTATTAAACCAGAAGTCTCGTAGCCAAGCAACATACAATCCAAACTGTGCATCACATGCGTGACGAGAAGTGTTAGCAGATTAATATATAGTTACATGTCGCTCTGAAAGCAACATAAATTATTGACTAAAACTCATTGTTTTAATCCCTGCAGGGACTAAAAAAAACTACTTGTTTAGTTCGTACATGTTTATATGTTGCATTATGTATATTTGGGTATGGAAATTATGAATTAAATTTTTTTTATATGTTTTGGTAAGTTTTGTAGTTGTAGACCCAATAGACTTTTGTAGTTTGAAAATCCAGTCATGCTAAATTTGAAGTTTAAGTTCTGCATCTACTTTGATTTGTTTTGTTACACATAATTAAGTATAAAAATGCCTCTGCAGTAACTGGTTGGGACTAATGGTGCGACAATAACAGTTTCACAGATAAGAGGGAAGCAACAGCTGAGTGGGACATGGACGCACTGTAGCGGCCGTGACCTCATTTCTTATCAGGACGCAAAGAAAAAAAAACAAAGAAAAAAAAACTGGGTGAGGTGGAACATATGAAAAAAGAGACACTGACTGATCTGCTGAGTGGCTGACAGTAAATTATTCAAGAGAGAGAAGGAGACAGAAAGAAGGTGAGAAGTTACTGACTTGGAGAAGCGCTCAGCGATGGCGTTGTTTTTCCCCCGAGCGTTGACGATGGACAGCTCCTTGGCGGTGACCCTCAGTGACTGCGATGCCCACTGTCTGCGGCTGAAAGGCGCGACGGAGGCCATGGTTTCTGAATGTTTGAGTTATGGATCTGCTGGTCAGCGTCTCACGAACTTGAATCTGACAAAAGAGAGACAGGAAGGTGTCTTGTTGGTTTTTGAGCAAATGTGTGGCTGTGGCTGTGGGTCCCAGCAGCTTTTCCTGTGCTTCATTGTTCCATAAACTCCAGCTGAGGCAGAAACACTCTTCCTGTGCATTTAAATTTTTATGACACCCCTTCTCCCACTGCCAAGTAAAAGTCACACTCAGCTCTTTGTGTGTGGTTAAATAGGCTTTGCATCAAAAAAGGTGCCACTCAGGGCTTTTATATCGGTACAAAAACTCACCCAGAAATCAATATATTTTATCAGACAACGCATTATACCACAGCCGCAGAAACCAGGCCCCGCTGTCTGAGTCACAAAGTCAATACAGCGTGTCACAGCCACTGACCATCTGTTCTCTGTGTGACTCTACTCTAACTCAGCCTGGGGGCAACAACCAGCAGACAACAATTCATACCCCGGAATCAGACAAATAAACTTTCACAACACACACTATAAACACCTGTCTCCACCTGCAACTCCTCAGTCCTGAGGACACGGACGTGCAGACACACGTTGCAGAAGCGTCATCGTCAGCCGACAGACAACCGTCACCTGTAGGTTACGTTCACTTCAGGTGAACTGAAGAATGTAGTGGATGAGCGGGCGGATGACGAAGCAGCCGCCTGGGTTTCTGCCCCGTAACTAAACATCACTCAGCAGGTGGGACATTGTGTGACGATGACTTGTCAGGACTCACTCTGTTCTAACAAACAGTTTCTTTTTGTACTTTAATTCTGAGGACATTCAAACGACACTCACCAAACACTAAAACGGTCCACGTCGTTAAATTACTGGAAGAAACTAACGATATTAAACCCCAGTCAAAATAAGTAAAAGAAGCATCTTAAAATTGAAATAGTTCCAATGAAAATGTACTTGAAACACAAATCATCACTCTCACCGTCCACCTTAAATTTCAGTGTCGCCCAACAACTACTTTCTAGAAAGCTGATGGGAAGAATTTTAACCTAAAGCTTTGTTTAGGTTAAAATTCTAAACAAAGCACCGTAAAAAATTGATCCAAATCATGTCAAAACCTCGTTTTCAACACTTCCACCAAACCCCACTGGAAAAACCTGTGACTTGCCCTGAGGACAGTCAGCAAACAAACAAAGAGCAGAAGGTCTGGAGGCAGATTTCTGCTGTTAAAAGATCAAAAGCAAAACAAGGGACCTCTGTTTCCCACTTCACAGGAACACAAAGTTTCCTGTTTTCCAAAATTTCAAAACTATATCCAGTGAATGAGAGAGGAGAGGGTCTTCGACGGCAGCACATTCCAAACAGCACTCACCTGTGATTGTCTCAGCTGCTTGACTCTGTGACTCTGTGGCTCTGCTCTGTTCCCAGGATTCCACTACTGGCACATTTCTTTCTCTTTTTACGCCCCAGCTACTTTCATCGGCGCTTTTGTGCAGACAGGGAAGTAGGAGGAGCTCCACTGCTCCCATTTAACTCCTCTCAGCCAGTAACGAGGCAGGACTCACTCCCACCTGGCAGGTACAGGCTCTCTGCTTTCACTCCTATCAGCAGCACTGGTGCGCCCAGCCTACGTGCAAATGACATGAAGGCATGTGGTCGCCCTCAGTGTCAGGGGGCAGAGAGGGAGGGAGGGAGAGAGGGAGGTGGAAGGATAGGGGGAATCCCACGCTGAATTCCTGGAAACAGACTGAACTGCCGGCTCCTGGCTGTAAGTTCTTCTCACAAGGTCAGGAGGTTGGAGGATGTGACTCACTGACTCCAACGAGAGAAAGAGGGAGGTTTGGAAGAAAAGGAGAGGAAAAGGTCTTGGCGAGACATTTTAATTAATTAATCCATTTATTATTATTATTAGAGAAATAATAATAACTTGTCAACGATTAATAGTGGTAATACTTCTTATAGTCATCAGATTACTCAGTTCCTTTTCGATTTTTGTCTTTCAAAAAAAAATCATCTGCTCATATGGCTTCATCAGTGTGTGTCCGTGATGGTTTGAGGTTCAAACACAACACAACATTAGACAACAGGATGAAGAGAACATTGGAACCTTTTTGTTTTACCTGTGGATGCACTAGTGTTTGGCCACAGTCGATAGTCTGAGATTTTTACCTTCACCAACGTCACATCTTTTAAAAGTGATTCACTGAAATCCTGATCACATGATGTCTGTGAAGAGAGGCCTCATCCCACGTCAGAAAGTCCCCGAAGTTCTGAGCATTTCACAATAAACGCTATCACTTACAGTATTTACTCTCAAGATTGTCTATTAAACTGTAATTTTTTCTTTCACTTTTAAGGGTGTAACATTGCACTAAAAAAAAGTGATACAAAGCATACGGAAAGACGTGTTTTTATTTTCACTTTCTTTACTCGCATTAATGATGTACTTCTTTAACCTCTCCAGTCTGAGAACTTAAATGTTATATCTGTCTAACCTCTTACGCCCCTCGGCTAAGCTAACAAAAACGCGTTTATATTTTAACTCTTGACCTTAACTGAGAAACACAAAACGCCAGCTATTAATTATCCATTACAGAGTAGGCTAAACCTAACAACATTCAACTCTATATGTGTATTTTAACTTACCTTCAACTGTTTATCAGGAACATCTATCATTAATTAGTTATCTTATTATTTTTGTGGCAGTGTTGTGCCATTAGCAGACAGTATCCTTCCGCCGAGTGGTCGTATACGGCGCAATAATACCTAAAACAAAACAAACTAAAAAATCACTCCGCTACTGTATAACATCTAGTTAATCTAACCAAACGGTTTGATATTTTAATGTAGTTTTAACAAAAACGGTAAAACAAATTTTAACCGTAGACTTTAACTGTTTTTGGGTTTTTTTACATGTTCACATTTTTTACATGTCGTGTTTTTCATTCCAGCCAGCAACACATTAAGAACAGATTGATTTTCGCGCAGGTGAAATTGTCTTATTAATCTCTAAATAATAATTCAAATGTAGATTTAAAAATGAAATACTTTCCTCTATGTGTCTGTCTGTTACGGTTAAACAGTACAGAACGTAGAAACTTCTCGTGGTTAAGTTAGATATTTTACTCGACACTTGAACATACTTTTTTGGTGGTTCATTTGAGTGCGATATTAGTCCAGCAGATGGCGATGTGGCCAAGTTAGACTAAAGGTTGTTAGCAGTTCATCGTTTAGTCACTAGATGGCAGAAAATATCTGTCTATCTATCTATCTATCTATCTATCTATCTATCTATCTAAAATATACTTGTTTAACTGCAATTAATATATGACGTGAGTATGTGAGTGTACCACCTCTACAGAAGAAGGCTTAAACGTCAATGGTCAGGAAACAATGATGTCACAAAGCTGAAGATAACAATAAACAATTTTAAGTTTTAGTAAAGAAATGCACTTAAAAGATGAAGCAGTGCAGCTGCAAGGCCAAACTAGTAAAGCTGAGAAATATGACAGTGCATGGTTGAAATAAGTTGACTTTACTGTTCATCAATGACAGTTAGAGCAGAGTCACACCAGCTGCTGATCCCGTGTTCATAATTCCCAAAAACCCAGAACTGCACTGCATGTAAAACGCAAAGGAACATTAGTGAAGAAACTCACTGTATTTATTGACACATATTTACACACAAATACCAATTTCCACAGTGTTCAGAGTCTGTTGGACTCACTGGTTTAAATGTGCTGGCAGCAGTTCTATCATACGTCAGGGTTAGATGTGTCTTGCGTGTCTGTTCTGGTATGTGTGCTGCTGCAGACCACATCTGATGCTTGTTTAACCCATAAGGGAAGGTGGGCCCCCAAACAGTAAAACAGTTGGTCTTGCTTTATGGTGTTCTGACCTCCCCCAGCAGCCCCCGCTCCTCTTCCCCTCTGTGCTGCTAACGTTCAACTTTGGCCTCCTGAAGCATAAAAAACATAAAAACCAGACACTCATACTGAAGGAAAAACTGACACAGTCAATGCAGCTGCATCTAACTGAATAGTACAATATGAGCAGGAAGAGTACTCAGACTATTAGGTTAATATCTATAGATGACATTTATCTGTTATCAATGACTTTTAGTTAATACCCAAAAACGTAGGTCTGTAGGCCATACATTTCATCAGCTTCATTTTACTATATAATAATAATATATAATACAGTACTATATAATGTTACACCATGTTAGTCTTCGAGCTGTTGTAAGTGGACTAGTAATTCACTGTTACACAATACATGTGAGAATTATGAGCACATCTGGGTTTTTCAATGTGAAAACACACAGCTATTCTGTGTGTGTGTGTGTGTGTGTGTGGTGTTGCCAGTTCAGGGCCTGTGGGCCTCATGGTGACTACGGCTTGGCTCTAACAAGGCTGGGTATCATTTCTGAGTCTTTCAGGTTAAAGATATCAAGTCACACATTTTTACAGTACAAGAAAGAAGCTTTCGTAAATCTGTACCTCACTACGGTACCCTAACAAGAATACGTGTGTGTGTGTGTGTGTTTGTAACAACTGTAAGGACTCTGGCCTTTTAAAGAGTGAGTTACATATAGATTTACAGACACAAAAGCACATATTGTAAGCAAGAGGGAAAGCAAAGGAACATATTTTTTTCTGAATTTGGCTTTGAGGGGGGGTGGCGGTGTGTATGAGTGTGCGCATGTGCGTGAATACATGGGGCGTTTAGCTCGACTTTTGCTCCAATTGGAAGAAAGGAACACGACTGGAATCTGCACCTGGACTTGATTAGGTTCCACAACTGCTTGAGATACTTGGATCCTTTTTTACTAGGTTGGGCTCAAGAAAAAATGTTTTAAAAAAAGCCTCGTTGAGTGGTCTGGATCCAGGTTCCCATTCATCTGTTGGCCATGACAGAGACAGTCAAACACAGAAGCAAACTAAGAAGCTAACATTTATTTGTGTTTTATCTGTAACTGGAACCTGAACTCTGACGGTCAGAAGGAATGTGGCAGTACAGTGGTCCACAAACATTTTTCTGCAGCAACTCCCTTTTGTAGCTAGAACTAATGTCCACCCCCCACATTCAGACATTCACAGCTATTGCTTCAAAACACAGAGAATCTTGCAAATCTGCTATTCTCATTTAAGGAAGAAAGGAAGGAAGGAAAGTGAACTCTTTGTCATTGTGACACAGCACCACTGCACACAACCAAATGTGACCTCTGCTTTTAATCCATCACCAAAGTGAACAGTGGGCAGCTTTAAGCGGGGACAGTGCCGTGCTCAGAGCACCGCAGTTGGTGGACTCGAACCTGGAGAGCAGTTCTGTACCCCTACAGTGGTCCTCCATGGGGGCACGCCTCCCACTTTGGAACCCACACTGATTAAACAATTCCATACCAATGTTTACTCCTGAAATCATGTGTGTGTAGGTTTGATTCCACTCTGGAATGTTATGAAAACCCATACTCATGCTTACACAATAGAATAATCTTCACAGTTCCTTAGTTTGACTGTTTAGCTATTTTAATTTATGTAAAAATAAGAAACAAAAAACATCTAAATGTTGAGCACAGTATTATCTAAAAAATGACTCTCTTGTGATGTCTTTATTTACTGACACTGTGTATGGACATAAAAGCAGACATAAATTATGTGGGACAAAAGTAAGTGGGTCTCAGAAAATGGACGTTGACTCACTGAAAAACAAAGAGGGGAAAAATAAATAGTTCGGTTAGACAAACAGATCGATACTGGGAGGCTAAGCTGGTTTTCAATATGACGAAACAATTTGGCATTGGGTTTCAAAATAGGGGGCAGGCACACCCTTGAGGGTGCGGTGTTATTGCATGGGGTGCGCAGCAAGGTACATGAAATTCAATTTTAATATTGTTTTTGTCCCACAGGGGTGAAATTGGACGAATTGGAATTAGATTCTGTCTTCAATGAGAGAAGCAATTTAGTGTTTAAAATGATGTTTTGTGAATAATTAAATGCAATAACTGTAAATGTGTTGATGTACAAAGGGCTTCACATTAGCCCTACCTTCAAAAGGGGGCAAAAAAAAGTTTGGTAATCAATGCTTCAAGGAAACAATAAAATGAAATAAAAGTACTGAGTTCTTTTGTGACCAGAAATAGTGGAGTCATCCAAGTGGGATGTTATGTCACAGTTTTGTCCCTTTGGCATTGTGTGTTTGCCAAGATATGGTGGACTTTGTAAACAAGTTTTTTTTTATGTGGGTAAATTTATCTCAATGGCTGCGTTGTTCTCAGGGCAATAAAATGACAGTGATCACGTCCAGCTTGTAAAGCAAAAAAGACACAATCAACACAATCGGCACACATACTTCAATCCAGAAATCTCCAGCTGAACCCTTCAGAAAATCCAAATCTGTTTCTCATCACCCCCCAGTTCACGCCCACCCTTTGAATGTCCTGTCATTTGTTTTTTCTCTTGACTGTCTTTACCCAGGTTTTTGTTTTCCTCTTCACACTCACCAAGGCTCAGGGTAAGGAAACAACACTGGAGTGTGTACTGTGTGTCCTCAAGTGTTTGTTGTTTCGCTAAGACCATTAGGCAAACAACTTGGCCGTCCTGCCGGGTGTGGAGCAGGAGGGCAGATAAATATTGAGGAGATATCCTGTTGCCTGGAGCGAGAATACTAGAGTGAGAAGTGAGAACAGATTCTCTGAGCCAAGGTCATTTTCACTAGAAACAGGACATATTTTTTGACACATAAAACACATTGTATTGAAAGGACCACAGTACTGTAAATGTTTACTGTAGATGAATCTCCAAGGACAGAGCAGAGAGCTCATCCCTTTTGCTGTGAGCGTTCAGGAAACATGTGGTTTATTGGAAGAGGACGGAATGTTAATGCAATGTTCCGTTCTTTTCTACAGCGACTTGTATGATTTAGTTAAGTGTGCATCAGGACAGCAGCATGAGAAAGAATTACATCCAAGCACCAAGTTCAAGGAGCCTCTCTTGGACGTTTGAGCACGTTGTTGACGAACTTAAACAAAAGAAGTTTCACACAGATGTTATACTACATTATGGAAAAACAAAATGTTTTTGTTCTCTACACACCCGGATTTGGCCTGGGCCAGAGTATTCAAACTCAGGAAATTTCATGACATTGAGTCTAGAGAGGTTTCCTAACGTTAAGTCTGTTCCAAAACGCTGTTACTTTTGCCGCAGTTTGATGGATTGAACTGGGTTGAGTCACTGTGGTGGCTCACGCTTTATCTACAGTCCAGAGAGACCTCTAAATGCCTTTCTACATAGTTATGTAACCAGTTTATTCCAGCACAACATTTTGTTTTGTTTTGCAAAACAACGACACTATTACATCAGTGTTTACACGTAAAAGGTAGTCTGGAGTAGGAGTAGTATGGAGCAGGATCTTGCCTTTGATCATGCAACTGGCCTGAAATTTTCTGTACCTGATTCAACAGATTCACCCAACATGAGGAAGTGAGCTTCTCTTTATAACACTATAGTGTTAGTGGGGTTTTTTTTGCCAGACAATAAAAAATACTACTACTACTTCATTGTCGTGTATAAAACTGTAAAATCAACAACCACAGGAGGCTGAACCCTTGAGCTTCTGGCAAAAACACAAGCTAAATAAATCAATCAACGGTAGGCTTCACTAAACTTGAACCGCTGCCTATGATGTCACAACAGTCGTGGGTAGAACGCGGGTTAGAATTATAAGACGGATTAGAAACTTCGACTGGAAATCCTTTTAAGTTGCTCGTTATACCTGTGTATTTGTGTCGTGTATGCTTTAATTTGTTCTTCCCTTTTATTAGTCGCTATGGACGTGCGTCTCTCGTGTCCTCTCGTCAGATTCCTGTACTGAGTCGCCGCCGCTCTCGTCTGCGCACGCGCAGCAGCTCAGCGCCTCATCCTCACATCACATCCAGGAGTTGTTAGCGCTGCTTTTTCTCTGAACTGCTGTACAACGTGGACCTACTGTCACCACCAGGGCCACCACACATACAAGGACCGGACCGAGCTCCCATTCGGACCCACCCGGGACCAGCAACAGCGGTGAGTGAACGAGTTACAGGCGGGTTATTTTTTTCACCTTTCTGTTTTGTGTCCGTGGTGTGAAGAGACAAAGAGAGAGAGAGAGAGAGAGAGCGGTGGTGAATTTAAAAAATCGTCTATTTTTTTTTATTCACACGGTCGACTCTAGTGATGATTTGAGGAGCTAAATTAGCTTAGCGTGACTGCGTGCGCTACCTGTTTCCTTTACTTCTGTCAGTTTTAAGCCTTCGTTCGGCAGACAGCCTTCGTGAGTACAACACCTGGCGTGGTACGGTCGTAATTATGGACCGACCTGGTGCCAACCATGGGCGGACAAAGACGCACACGGGGCTCCCTACCCACCATTAACAACTTTCCTGAATACAGTGCTGAGTTGTGAGCTGTGGGTTTCTCACAAATAGAGACGACCTTATGTCATGTTTACAAAGTTGATGATACACACTTTATATCAAATATTTTAAAACATTGAATCAATGTTAAAAAAAAAACAGGAACTATGTGAAATGGCTAATGATTATAATTAAGGGAAACGCCATACTAAAAAGCTGATGCTGAATGTAATCAGGTACTGTAAACTGGCACCAACACATGTTGACATTGGCTAATTAGGGGGATAGAGGTGAGACACACAGGAAATAGTGTCAGAAGACAGGAGGAAATGATGGGAATATCAAAACAATGATGGCAAACAACAAGAGAATGTAACGTGACAACAAAGCTAACCTTTACCACAGAGATGGGATGGAGTGATGTTGGTTGTTATGTATACTTAACAAGAGTTTGTACAAAAGCTAAAACTATATAAATGTTTATATATATATATTTTTGTCCAACTTGAAGGTGGATAATAGAAAAAAGGGCAATAAGATGCAAGAATTCTCTCTCTCACTCTCTCTTTCTCTTGCTGTTGGTAAGTAGGTCAGTGTGTGACATATATAGCAAATATTCTCTTTTCTGAGTTACAGTTTCCTATTTTTTATTTGGACCTTGGAGCCTGTAGTCACCAGATTGTCTTTTTCATCCACAAAACAAGCTGTATTGATTGCTGCCATCAAGAGAACAACACTTGAGATCGGTTAATATACTCGTGATGTTTGGAACATGAAAAGACATTTGTCTCCATTTTGTGTCTCTAAGTTGTGTGTGTGACACTCTGCATCCGTCTGGCTGCACCCATCAAAGTTGGCATCTAAAAGTTATTTATAAATCATCAGCTTCCTGTTGCTTTGTTTTGTGTTTGTGCACTCTTCACACTTTCTGCTCTAGTCACCCTGGGATAATTGTGAATTATTTTTAGGATATTTTAGCACCTTTTTGATCATTTGTTGTCTTCCTGATATCATTACCTGCATTTGTAGCACCTCGCTTGAGTTTTACTGCCACCATTGAAATATTACGTTCACCATTCTTCTGTGATCTGCTGTTTTATCTCTCATGGACCAAATTAGTTTCATATGCTTGTGCTTTAAGAGTCAGGACTGAATGGAAAAATTAGATGTCACCCACATGTTTTAATAAAACTATTGCATTCCTCCTTTAAAACCTGACCTCTGACCCCTGAGACTCAGTGTATACATCTCCTCTCCTGCTGTCGGTATAAGGCATTTGTGAGCAGCTCTGGTGCATTAACTGAAACCATTCAAACCATTTGTTTGATCACTAACTCCATTTCATCTTGATGTCATTTGTAGATGACCAAACCAGAATGTACCACCAGAAGTCAGACCTGAATAATTTATAATGTACCAGAAGTCAGACCTGAATAATTTATAAACCAGATCAGACCCAATGCTACGGTTTTCTGTTTAGTTGACTTTACTGTGGTGATTATTTTTTGTCAAAATGACAAAGAGTTTATTCACCTGATCTTTTCATTATTCCATTGGTGGATATCCATAAAAAATATTTTTGCCCTCAGTGTAACTTGATCTCTGGACTTTGAAATCTTAAACTGTCAAACGGTGGAGTTGCATCAGTTGTTGATGTTTTATAGTAGAGTTTTCTAAACCCTTGAGTTAACATCAAAGTAGTTGCACTAAACAGATCTACATAAATAAGCTCAAGATTTAGTTAAAAAAAAACTTCAGGATGTCATGCCAACAGTATGTGTTGCTTGACTTTTTACTTTGTGTGTGTGCGTGCATGCATGCGTGCAACTGCACAAGTGAAAGAAAGTATGGTACTGATTACGGTACGTGGGAATGCAGCAAGTACAAGCAGATGTGGAGCCAACATTACCAGGTCATAATTTACATAATGTCCATCTAGAGGCCACAGCTTTGAGTCACGTACTAACACAGTAACAGTAAATTCCTTAAAACAATCCATATGGAAAAAAAATGTGAATATTAGTTTAAAACTTTTTTTAAAAGTTAAACGTTTTTTAATTCCCACAAGGCTATTGACAAATCACACTCAAAGTTTGAGTGATGAGACATTCCATTGTTGAGTGACTTTACAGCAACAAATCAACTAAACTAAATATACAGGTCTCCCCAATTACAGATTGGACAATTGGAAAGAATGGTGGTAAATATGGAGAAATATTTCTATTATTTCCTTTTAATCTACCACCAGGTAGCAGTGCATTTTAACATGTTTGCCTTTGCAAAACCTTTAAACAAATGCACATTTTTAAGCAAACAGGGACAGGAGTTTTTGTGAACATGTGGCGTGCACCCTTGATGACTCCAGTTAGTTCATCTTGATAAGGTTGGAGTGAACTTTACATCTGTTACTGCTACAAATCAGGCTGAGGTGGATATCGGTGTAACTGATGCACAAGAATCCAGGGAGCCGAGCGATGAAAGGAGTAAAATTTTTTGTAATTTCATTTTTGCTTGTAAATTAGTATTTTAAAATGACTGCATTAAGCCTCAGGCCTTAAGCTGTTGTGGCATTGCAAGGTTTTTGATATTGAACTTTGTGAGGTGATAAAATGTTTTTACATAATCAAAGTGACACACCCATTCATTTAAGCAATAAAAAAAAAATCAAGCTATAAAGTGGCGTATCACCGTTTATGTTGTAACAGATAAGTGGCCTCTTTGTCCTGTCTTTTGGAGGTATAAACCACCCACTTGAAGGTTGGCTGTCCACGTCTTTGTCATAAATTTATTTAGTTGATGGAGTCACTTTTCTGTGAGGTTGAACGGATGTCAGGTAACTCTAGCCTCTCCACACACTGGTGTTTGTTGCAGCAGAATGAATGGCCTCATTGATGTCTCCTTTGGGAACTGTTCTGCTTTACTTACAAACACTTTCACAGACACACACAGACTCAAGGAAGTTGGACCTCCGACCATATGGCAACAAAAGTCCATTCCAATTTACTAAGAGGAGGATTTGCTTCTTCCCTACATCGTCTGACTGTTTAGTAATAGAAAGACAGACGTAAAGAGGTCACCAAAACATTCAACAAGACTGATCAGATGACTGACCCAGTAGGAGGGACCAGAGTGTAAATGTTATCCTAACCATCTCCCACATATTTATGACTGTCAGTCAATTTAATGAGATTTCAAAGCTGGTCTCACAGATTTGTGAGAAAGGTCAGTATATCAACAGCTCGACTGCATTCATTGAAATTTTTTCATTAAAATATTTCCCTGTGTTGTCACAGACTTTAGGGTCTTTGACCGTTGGTGGTCATCAGTGTCTGATTGTCATGATGTGCCACAGCAGCCAGAGTCGAGCACATGTTCCCCATGTCTTTGTATCCACACTCTTCTAGGCCTCTGTCCACAAAGGACTGGCACTTTTCCTATATCTACCAAAAACAGGCTACAAAGTGAACTTATCTGACCACAATATATTTCCATCATCTTATAGTCAAAGTTAGTCCAGGTGCAAAGAACTTCTTATTTGCATAAATTCAGTTTAATTCTTTCCAGCCAAGTGACTGTGATGTGGGCCAATGATTTTACTTTGTTAGCGTCGGGTAGCAGTAGCATGGTGGTTATAGATGAAGCGTAACACATGTTTACTGAATGATATAAAAGTTTTAACTTTTTGCTTGTTAAAATAAAAATGATAGTTAAAAACTCCAATACTTGATTTTTTAGCAAGTGTTTCTGTGTAGATACTTTCTCTGAGTGTTTTTGGTGTTCACTGACCCTGAACTCTTTTTCCCTTTTGAACTGAAGCGTCGGTGCAACAGTATAACACAGTGGTTTTCAGTTGGACTTGTTTGCATAAGCATGTGACAGTATGCGTGGCTGTGTTTTTTCAGGCCACTGAGGGGATGTGCAGAATAAGAAAGCTCTGTGAGCACCATGTGAGTCATTGTCTGTGTGAAAAAGAAAAAAAACCATTATATAAATGAAAGCATTGAGATGAAAATGAAGCAGGTTTGTATCCAACAGAGACTTCACCAGTAAATTTATCGTTGAAACTTTAACATTAGCTATGACCTTTATGATTTCTCCACCTGTTGTGGGTTGATGTGCAGAGTTTGCATCATACAGCAGACGGCACGTACTACACGAGAGCGTAGAAATGTCATTGATGACCTCAGGCATGACTCACCATCGACTTACTCAAGTCTCTACTTCCTCTTCCTGGTTTAACGGTGAGGTGGATGTTGTCACTGCCACTCAGTGGACTGCTAATGAAAAAATATTTTTAGCAAGTACCATAATCCCTTGCTGATGAGTCCACTGGTCTCCAGGAATGACTGCAATGCGGAAAAGAAATCATTGTGTGCATATGTGTCTGTATTTGACTGATAATGCTTTTGGATGTTTACAAACAACACAAGGATTGGGATATGGTTTTACTGCTTACAGCTGGTGGAATGCTTCTCAAATACTTACTGTTGGAAGCACTGGGAAGTTGATGAAGTACTTTTACTCCTACTTCCATACTTCTTTTTACAGATGTTATTGTTCAATCATCTTTCTCTCCCACATTTTTCTGGGCTGATACTGATGCTTATCTTTGTTATTTCAACCAGGGAGAGAACTATAAGAAGGGACTACTCTGCTGTGAAAGATCTCTAATAAGTGGATAATGCATTGATGTGCTGTAACCAGGCTGAATGAACCCGTAGACTTAGAGAATCTTAATCTTGCATTTATTTCCTGTTCTCGGTTTTGTTTTGTTTGACTTGGTGTAAACTGTTTGCAAGTAGACTGGAACTCATTCTGTTTCTGGACTCGGAGCTGTGATTAAAGTCAACATCACACGAAAAATAAACCCTAATATTTCTTCTTGCGTGTTTTTTTGACACCTTTACTCTGTAGCTCCTCACTAGATCTTTAATTGTTTATGTTTCATGCCAAATGTTTCACTATACTGCCAGTAAAAATGCTGCGTTCATCTTCTGTGTACCTCCACTCAGTGTTGATTTTAACCAGGCCTTTACTCTCTTCATTCTCAGCAGATCCCAGTTCAGCTGTGTGGGCTTCTCCTGTCCCCTGAGGCCCGGCTGACCTCCAGCAGCGGCACATCCACCCTTTTTCTTCCTCACCTTCATCCTTGTGAGCAGACATGCCTCCTCCGTTGGGTGGTCCTGCAGGTTACACACCACCTGAAGGTGGCTGGGGCTGGGCAGTGGTGGTTGGGGCCTTCATCTCCATTGGCTTCTCCTATGCCTTTCCCAAATCCATCACGGTGTTCTTCAAGGACATAGAGGTCATCTTCGATTCCACACCCAGTCAGGTGTCCTGGATCTCCTCCATCATGCTCGCTGTCATGTACGCTGGAGGTGAGTATACCTGTTGAATGAGTAATATTTTCTGTATTACTTTAAATATTTGCTTCTTGGTGAGGGATTGTCTCCAGTCTCATGTTTGCTTTTTAGTAAATGACTAATCATTTTATCAACACTGATTTCTTTTCAGTTTTTTGCATCAGGAAATCATTATCTCTTTGTTCACCAGGCTTGAAAAACCATTAAATCATTAAATCCTTAAATTCAATTGTAAAATTGAAAGTGAAACGTTTAATGACGTATGCTTAAAGATTTGAGCAGAAACATCTCTTGTGTTTGCTGTGGTGCACATTACACTCCAGATAATCCCTAAGTGATTTTTAAACATTCATCTGCACCGGAGAGCTCATTGTTCCCAGCACTCAGCCACTCTTTTCACCAGCACGGCTTCCACAAAAGCCTCCTTTAACTTGTATTGACAGGGTTTAGAGAAAGGCCAGACCAGTTTCAGGTCAGGTTTCCCCTCTGTCCTCGACACATAGCAAAGAAAGTCCTTCAGTCTCCTGATTCTCACTCAGTACGTAAAACAGAAATCCACATTTTTAAGTTGAATTTGTCATTAACTCTGAAGAGCTGTTTGCTAAGCTGTACTTTTAGTAGGTTGGTCTATAGTTCTGAAAGAAGGAACATGGAGAGAATGACAGGGCGGGGTGAAGTTGCACAACACCAGCCACATTTAAAGAGGTTTTTTTTTTTTCATTAAATTTTTCTTCCTGTTGTTTCACAATTAATGAAGTACATAAACGTTACACTAGACAGTATCTGTTGGTCATATATGGGGCAGTGGTGGCTTAGTGGTTAGGGAAGCGGACTTGGGTTCAGGTTTGAGTCCTTCAGCTGAGTCCTTACCACTGAAGTGCTCTGAGCAAGGCTGCTGCCCACTGTTCACTTTGGTGATGGGTTAAAGCAGAGGTCACATTTGGTTGTGTGTAGTTGTGCTGTGTCACAATGACAAGTGTCGTAGTTCACGTTCCTTCCGTCCGTTCCTTCCTTTGGTTCCTTCCTTATAAATGATACGATGAGGTCAAGTTGATATGAACAATGGCGTCTTCAAAGAGATGGAAAAATGTAAACCTAAGTGGTTTACATTTACATTTTAACCTAAATTATTCACATGTTTTACATTTGATTTAGTCCTTGTGGCACTGAAAGATTTTTTGCAGCCCTTCAGGTGACGCTAGAAGTTACTAGAGACCTGTTGTCTCCAGGTGGGCGACAGTTTGAAACAGACACCCTGTGGATCTTCTCCCTACCTTGTGGTTGTGAGGCAGACGGTCAGATATGGCTGCTCCTATTTCCTGTGCTGTGTTTTCTGCCGTGGTAGTTGCACATTCAGTGCAGAGTCAGCCTCTGCTTCACATTCAGCAGGCCTACAAACTAGTTCAAGTGGTTCAGCATACCTCTGGCATTTCCTTTTTGGGTATTGGCTCCCTCATAGGGAAACCACTATCCAGATGTTCTCCTGTGATATGTAGACACGTCTTTACAGCTCTGAAAATGAATTTAATTAATTTTTTTTTTTTAAGTTTTTATATGGAAATGTTTTCAAAATAAAAAGTAATGACCTACATTTTGTGAGTCTTAGTCAGAATCGTGTTGAATTATTCTATGTTCTTGTCATTTTACCGACTCCTCATGACTAACTGTACAAATACAACAGCAGCAACAGATAGAAAGACAAAAAAAAACCCATATTTTGAAAAAAATAAACTCTATTGCCTGACATTCCTAAATTGCCCAACCCTCAGCTGGTATTACAAGGCCATGCTGTTCTTTTTTATTATTATTTAAGTGTGACTCTGGTCACGCCCTCAGTGAGTGAGAGCTTCAGTGTCTGACTTTTCTTGCAATTTCTCCATTCGGCCTGTGTGTGTGTGTGTGTGTGGGTGTGTATGGGCGGCTGAACAAGAAGGTGAACAAGACTGGTCCTGAACAAACATTAGCTTTAGCAATGAATGAATGTGATAATGTGTGAGATAATGATATCAGTAACCCGAGTTTGATTCTTACACTGTGACGGATCATCATTATTCATGAACATTCATTTCCTGCTAAATGTCCTTATTTGGGCTTCTTCTTGTTATTGCTTTCTAACAATAATCAAAGGAAACCATCTGAAGTATAAAGCAGTGTCTGAAACCTCCGACCCTTCCTCTGATCACTGACGTTTTCGCTCTCATTCAGACACGCACACATGCAGAGAGAGGAATAGGTTTACATAACTGTCAGGACAACGCGTTGGGCCCTCTTTGTGTTTTGCCACAATGGAGAACAACTCCACACTGCTGATCAGCTCAGTGTAAGGTGGCAGTTTTTCTGTCCCTGCCCTCGTCCAGGCCCAGTTTGTTGACACTAGAAATGTAAACAGAGCTGAGGGAAAGAAACCTGACTGTTTGATTTGAATACATTACAATGATGGCTCCTGGTTCTTTTATCTTCTATATGTGTGTACCATGAAAACATAAACCAGGCATAAACTGGTCCATTGTAGTGTTTGACAGACAAAGCCATGGTGGTATTCAAATGTCACACATCTGTCTTTTGAAGGGCCGTTGCATTTATATCACATTTGTAGCCATTCAATGAATATTATATTTGTTGCTTATTTATTGTTTGCTAACAATCTTTGATTTACAGTGCTGTGATAAGTGTTAGACTTGTATATAAGATTCATATAGACATTGATTATTTTATTGATTTTCATGTAGTCACCACCAATGTTGAGAACAAATATCTGTTTTTCTACATTTGTTTTGAATACAAATAAAAACACAAAGATCAGTCCCACAAAAGGTAGATCTAAAGTTAATTGCATTATTATTTTGTTTAATATCCTTAATTTCCCTAAGGGGACTGAGGAATTAATAAAGTTCTATCCATCCATCCATCCATCCATCTAATATATAAACTGAGATTTTTTTTGTTTTGTTTCGGTGTCGCACATAACACGTTAGATGTCCGAGTGCAGATGATGTCATGGTGTCTGCCTCCTCTCTGTACACTGAGCTACTGTAGGGATCCTGCAGGCTTTGACCTTGTGTTCACATTCATGTGAAGGCTCTTTCATACTGAGGCTGGCATGCAAGCTGAGATATGTGCCCTCTGTCAACCTTCTCTTTTCCTTCCTTTTTACCCAAGTCTACTTTTTTCTTCCCAACACATTCCAGTGACATATGTAGGAAACATGTTCAACTAATAAGATTTTTTTATTTTATTTTATTTTTTTCTTGTCCACATTTCTTTTTGCCTCCTTTTTCTGCTGTCTAACCAACATGTTGCCATTGCTGTTACACAAGCCTGGTCCCACATTTGTCTTTTGGCCGTTTAGCGCCATCTGCCGTTAAGATGGAGGTGGTGACCTCGTAAATGTCACATGCATAAATATAATACATTTGTACATTACTAACAGAAAAAAGACATTGTTTTGTTATTGGTTGGACCACAGTTTTAGACTGAAAACACCTGATATAATAGTATAAACCATAATGTTATCTGAGGTTACAATATTTACTATTTTGCTTCTACTCCAAATGTGTAGTGGTTATAAAAGTAATGTTTAATTTAGTTGGACTGACATCTAAAAATGTTTTATTATTCTCTACTCTTCTGCTCTGGTCATTTCTTGCTTATTCAGCACTTTCTGTCCACTCTTCTTTTTTTTGCTGTAGGCCCAATCAGCAGCATCCTTGTGAACAGATTTGGCAGTCGTCCAATCATCATAGCCGGTGGTTGCCTGGCAGGGTCTGGATTGGTCGCTGCTTCCTTCTGCAACACAGTGCAGCAGCTGTACTTCTTCATAGGAGTGGTGGGGGGTGAGTGTTTTGTCACGTTTATCACAAATGTATTTCAAAGTATATAATTATATAATTGCCCTGCATTTAAATGAAATGATTTTTTTACTTTTTTTTACTCACTCTAGGTTTGGGACTGGCATTCAACTTGAACCCAGCCCTCACTATGATTGGCAAATATTTCTACAAGCGCCGGCCCATCGCTAATGGCATAGCTATGGCTGGCAGCCCTGTGTTTCTGTCCACCTTGGCTCCGCTCAACTCCTGGCTCTATGATAGGTTTGGATGGAGGGGCAGCTTCCTTATTTTGGGCGGACTTCTGCTAAACTGCTGTGTGGCCGGTTCCCTGATGCGTCCCATTGGACCCAAACCTCAGCCAGTAAAGGCGGATGCAGAGACGGGTGACGTGAAGGGAGCCAACGCAGCACAGCCGCAGCAGAAGAAGACCGTCTTCCAGACCATCAACTCCTTCATCGACCTGACGCTGTTCAAACACCGTGGCTTCCTGCTGTACCTGTTGGGGAACGTTATCATGTTCTTTGGCCTCTTCGCTCCGCTCGTCTTCCTCTCCAATTTTGCCAAGAGTAAAGACATCAGCAAAGAGAAGGCGGCCTTCCTTCTGTCGGTGCTGGCCTTTGTCGACATGTTCGCCCGGCCGTCCATGGGTCTTCTGGCTAACACCAAGTGGGTGCGGCCCAGGGTGCAGTACTTCTTTGCCGGTGCCATCCTTTACAACGGCGTGTGTCACGTGCTGGCTCCACTGTCAGTGGATTACACCGGCTTCGTGATCTACTCCATATTCTTTGGTTTTGCCTTTGGCTGGCTGAGCTCAGTGTTGTTCGAGACCCTGATGGACCTGGTGGGGGCTCAGAGGTTTTCTTCAGCTGTGGGTTTGGTCACTATAGTGGAGTGTGCACCCGTGCTGCTGGGTCCACCAGTAACAGGTAAGAAATCCATTTCTCTTGTGTTTAGTACATCCGTCGTAGTAGGAATGAATTGGAAGTTGAAGTATTTTTGACATTTGAAATTTTCCGAGTCAGTAAACACAGGGCCATTACGGTCACTGCAGGGTGTTGTTACTGTTAAAATATCCTGTGCGTGAGATTATAATATAAAATAATCATAGTCTTGTAGGTAAAACAGACAACAAACTGCATCCACTATTTTTTAAATACATAAACCAAACGTTTTGAAATCAAAAGCACTTTTTTCCTATAAAAAAAAAGGTAAAAATGTCCTTCTACGTTTGAGATAAATGGTCACATCTTCAGATGATCCAGAACTTTTTACCCACTACACATTGTTTCTTCACCTCATCTGTCTTCTTCAACCCCCCCCCACCCCCCCCATCTGTAAATGTTTAAACTCAGCCCTGTCTCTCTTGTCCACCTGCAGGAATGTTCTATAACTCCTACCAATCCTACACCTACACCTACCTGACCTGTGGCATCATTCTGATAATCTCCAGCATCTTCCTCTTCGTGGGCATGGGCATCAACTATCGCATGCTGGACAAAGAGAGGAAAGAGGAGGAGAGAAGAGAAAAGGAGGAGCCCAAAGAGGAGTGCGCCGCCATGTTGGCTCCTCCCTCTTCATCGAAGTTGACTGATGACGTGGGCCAGGGAAATGAAGAGGTCAAACTAGAGGATGTGGCGAAGATGGACGAAGACGCCGTGTAGATTTAAGGAGAGACTTGTGTAGAGCGCACACTTCCGTTCACAGATAACAAGATAAACGTCACAGTTAGTTTGAACAACCACACACACGCAGAAGAAACACAGCAGAGTAAGAATTCTCTTCACAAAAACCTCTGAAGCCACAAATACTGATATGTTTTTTTTTTCTTGAAAACGCTGCCAAAACGCAGCCCTTCACTGCACTGAGACCCCTCACTCTGACGTGCCTATGACAGAACCTCACAAGAACACACAGACAGACCAACTACAGACAGACCAACTGTAGGATATCGGTAGATTAAGAAGGACTTTCCCTCAGGGCCTCCACTCTGCCGTCAACAAATGTAGTGTCAAGCCTGGTTTCTGCTCTGTGCCAGTGTTCATCAACTCGTGGCCCCATTTTTGTCAACCTGGAAAAACCATCACTCAACAGAGGAGGTGGACTCAGACACAACCTATGCCCCACATACAAAGCACTCATAGGAACAATATCCAAAAGATTCTCCTCAGTTTCCAATAACAAAGAGGCAGGTGACCGAAACCGTTCTGATGAGGACCACAACGACCCATCGTGTCGAAAACCTCTTCTTTTAGAAAATTCACGTCCAATTACCTAACAGAACTCTTCGACCTTGACCATGGTCTGGATGACTGAGAATCTTCATAGACCAGCAGTACCACTGGAAATCTTGGGGGCAGTGTTGAGCAGTATAGCTCAGGTGAACCCATCGATAGAACAGCAGGAAGGAGACGTCAGACATGATGGAACGCACCACCGCCGTCTCCTGCACTGACTTTGTTCGGACCTGTTTCTGATCAGGCGCGTTATCAACACCTCTTCCACTGTCGCCATGAAGTCAACATCGCCTCCTAGTGGAGGTATTAGCTTATCAGCATAGGAGCAGAAATAGGAGTACATATTTGGTCAGTGATGTCTGAAACGGGCGAACCTGAAAGGAGCATAAACCAGGCTTCACTCTTCACACCACCGAACAGAACAAATACATTTCATACCACGGGGTCATTCATATTTGGGTCCGAGTGCTTAGAAACAAAAAAAGTTAAATAAAAGAAATGTAGGAATTTCCTACATTACTCGATCGCCACGGTCTGAAACTAGAATGTTGAAATGCTCGTTAGTTACTGCAGTGTTGAGGACGGTGGTGATGATGTTGCTTGTAGATACTGTAGTGTGTGTATGTGTGTGCGTGCGCGTGCGTGTCATAAAACCTTCATCCTTTAGCTCACACAGATGACACAGATGTCATGCAGATTTGTCTGCTGCATAAACACTATGATGATGAAGATGACTCAGTATTAGACGGCACCGTGCTGTGCCGTGTGAAGGACAGTGTGTAGATACGTGTGTGTGTGTGTGTGAGAGCGTGAGACATGCGCAGCTTTGGAACCAAACCAGGAAAAAAAAAAAATAAAGGCAATTTATTTTTATTTTTTTACTTTTTTTTTAAAAAAAAAATTAATAAAGGCAATTTATTTTTACTTTTTTTTTTTTTGCGTTTTTCCCAACTTTAGCACCATATAATATTTTGTATTTGTAAAACTCTATAGTAAACAATTATATATAAAAAAACACACATTTTAGATTTTTGTTTTATGACAATCTGACACCGAGTTATCTTTTTATTGGTTTTATTTGTTAGAAAATGAAGAGGGTCCGTGTGTGTGTGTGTGTGTGTGTGTGTATTGTTTAGTTACCTAAACTAGAAGTGTCAACTTTCACGTCAATGAAAATTGAATACAATGAAATGAAGGAAGGTTGTCTATTTTTACTATTTTGTCTTATTCCAGACCGATGGAAATACTTTAAATTTGTATTTGAATTCCTGCGAAAAATCCTTTGTTACTGATTTTATGACATATTTTTCTAAAATGCCTCTTTTTAAACCAACATAACAAGTAAAATTGTCATCTTCAACCCTGAACCGGAAAATTTCAGCAACAAAAGTTGCAAATATTTTTCCAGTTTTAAAGGATTTGTTGTGTTTGTGTTTGTGTGTGCAGTACACAAACGGAAGTTTTATTTCTCTCTTATTGGAACTCACTACCTCACGTACTGTTCTTTATATAACAGACACTTCTTTATACTTTGGAGTGAGTACTTCATCACAGTTTCAAACCATTATCTTCGTGACAGTCTCTGTGTCGGAACTTCCTCTTCAAATCAGCCAAATCAGACATTACTATTGTGGGATTACAGCAGACAGTCGCTCCTGTGAGGGACAATTACAGGAAATACTTCAAAATTCAGTAAATATTGTGCTTCACGTAGAACAGTTGTTTGTAAAAGTTTTATAACGAAACACCCTGGTCTTAGTTTTCTACAGCAGCAGTCGGTAGTAAATACGTTTTTACACTGGTTTCTCTTCCTGACTTAATCCAGACTGGGATTACAGACTGTGTGGAATCAAACCCAGAACCTTCTGCGTGACGAGCTAGAATCCTGTCTCGAGTAATTGAAAATAGAATTAGCACACTGGTCAAAAAACAAAAGCCTTTGAGTAAAAGTTAAAAGTTTACATCTTTGACAGCTGGGTTTAAGGCCGGTGTCAAAGACGGGGGCGAGGAGCCCAGGGAGAGAAGTTGTGTTCAAATGATTTGTTTACAATAAGAAAAGTAAAAAAAAAAACAAACAAACAAAGTACAACTTCATTTTATCATCTTTACAAAAGCATAATGATCAAAAAAGAAAAATATTGACAACTTCATTATATCATCTTTACAAAAACATAATGATCAAAAAAGAAAAATATTGACGGTTTTTAATCCTCTGATGTGAGTAATTTTTTCCAGAATGTGAATGTGTTTGAGTTGAGGTTTATGTAACCGGCTTGTCCGTAGCATTCCTTACCAACGTGGGCCAGAACTTTCAATTCTTTTATTTTCTTAGTGTTAAGATGAGTTTGTTGAACAAAAAACATCAATCACAAAGAGACTTGAGGTTTAGAAGTTTGCGAAGAGATCAACCTTTTCCGTTGCAGTAGACATGTGTTATTGTGTTGTTGATCATGTAGAGAACAAATAAATAAACATTACTTTTTTTCATTTACTCTTTTTTTGGTTTCTCTCTCAGTGGTGAAGTGGAGTTGGGCTGTGGGATCAAACCCAGAGTGACAGCTTAACGCCATCATTAACCCATTAACACCTGTGTTCGTAGAATGTTTGTATAATGGCTAATAGACAACAAGTTCAGATCCTTTTAACTGATGTTTCTTAATTTTTTCTTGGATTAAAAACAGATCTTTACGTCCTGAGAGCTAACAGTTACTGACTGAGACAATGTTTATTCTTAGTTTACAGTATTTACATGAAATAAACAGTCACTTTCATCTTCATCGTTCCTCAGGTGTCATTCGTCCACAGTTTCTACATCAGGAGTTCTTCTGAACACCATCTCTACCCACTGAGGTTGGAAGTTGTGCTGGAGATGGGATTCAAACCCACGACGTAGTAGAGCAGGCGCGGAGCCCCGTCTTCTTTACAGAGGTTTTCTTTTTTTTATTGTTTTTGTGTCAGTGCGTCTGTGCCTCAGTAGTTAGAGTTGTGAGTAGCAGTGGAGTCGGCTGGTAAAGAGCATCTGGGCTGCGATTGGCTGTGACAGAAGAGCAGGAGGCGGAGCTCCGGGGAGATACTGCTGGAGAAAGCTGAGTAAATCCAGGGGTTGGTGCATGAGTTCAGACTGGCCAACAACATCAACAAGGTGAAGACCACACCTGCACACACACACACACACACAGTGTTAATGCTGGTACTTACACTGGAAAACTCCTCTGCCCCCCTGACTTTTAACCCAGAGTGAGTGTGTGTCCTTATTGTATATTTTTGTCTATTTATGTCTTTAGTTTGATCATGTATTATTCACAAGGTGCAGTGTATTTACTAAATGTTATTTGTATGTAATATATAAGTACAGTTTGAGTGTTGCACATTATCATTAGTCTCATGAATGAACTGCAGTATTTAAAAAAAAACAATATACTGTAGATATTTTGGTATTTTGTACAGCAATTACAGCAGTAATTCACCTTCCTCTCCTGCAGGTGGTGCTATATCTACACCTCATGTATGAGTGGAGTGCAGACAGAAGATTCCCCAGACCTGCAACTGGGGACAGACGGCAGCCAAGAGAGTGTGTGTGTGACATCTAAGGTGAGATTAAAAAGTGTGGGGCAGTTGGAGTGAAAGTGCCCCACCTGCTGGCTGGCAGAGGGGTTTCTCCAGGAACTCCTGGACCACAAGCCTTAAACTTCTAATTAGTATTCAAATGAACGGTAAGGCTGCAAGCACAGCACCATTGACTTTCAATGACCTGGTCTACAACTCACCGTTCTGAGGGGGGTTGGGGTCCCAGGCGGCCCACAGTTGGACACAGAAGAACGGGGACCAGCAGAGTGAATAAACAATCACTATGACCAGCGTCATTTTCACAGTCTTAGACATGGCTGCTGACACCCCTCCATCACGAAAAGCGGGGGGGTTGTGCGTGGGATGGCAGACAGCAGAGGGCGCTGCAGGGTCAGACGACGCCTCCTGCTGCAGGTCAGCTGCCAGGGCAGAGACACAAGGGTTTCAGGACCAACCATGTGTAAAACCACCAACCTTCCACACTGTCTTTTCTCTTCATTGCTATAAAAGAACATCATGTTTTGAGGACTTACTTTTTTTTTTTGTCTGTGTTACTGTGTAGTGTAGTAGCACGCAACGTCTGTGTGACTCCTACCAGGTTGATCAGCACTGAAGCTGCGACGATTACAGATCAAACTGACGGAGGTGGCTGTGACGGGGCCCAGAGGAGGGTGCTGACAGGTGGACTCTGGGTCGTAGCTGGTGCTTCCAGCTGGGTTGTTGTTCAAAGGAGCTCCAACGTCCTGGGAGACGCTGTACTTCCCACTGTTGTCTCCCCCTTCACCCGCTCTCTGGCTGTTCTGTCTGGATGGAGGAGGAGGCGCGGCCAGAGACACACGACAATCTGACTTCAAATACAGACTGTTGTGGATCTCCTTGAAGATTCGGACCTGGACGGAAATAAAATGGCATCCGATAACTTTGTCACCGACTGTAAATATTGAGAGTACTATACTTTAAAACTATTATGAGAAAAACTTGAATGACGTACTTTATCGTCTAATCCTCATCACAAACTGCAGTTGTTTGGCTACTACAGTATCCAAGCGGAATAGATAGAAAATCATACTGGAACCTGAAACTGTTACTAATGTGAGAATGTGTCTGCCTGTGGCTCAGTGTAGCATTCATGACATGATTCATAATTCATTACTAGGCAACGGGGAATAAAAGTACATGTGATCATTCTGACTGTCACAGTGTCCCTGTCCTCTGTACCTGGCACACGGTGATGGTGAAGGCGGGGAGGATGAAGACGGCCAGGGTCATCCAGGTCACGTAGGCCTTCAGGCCCCAGGACTCGGCAAAGTTTCCCCAACACTCATACACGCCTGGAGCTACTTCAGAGCGGGAGAAAATGAAAACCTGTAGAGCAGTGTGGGACAAACATTCATGTGACGGCGTCTTACTTTGACTAAGTTTGATTATTCATTTGTTCATCTCTTATTCATCCTAGTTTTTTATGACGAGGTACAGCTTAGATATATTTGTATGTTTGCACATTCGGTTTGTTTTTTCTTGCTATAAAGTTATTAAATTTTTTTAAACAATTAATCATGAAGGAAAACGTGAAATATATTTATTAAATTGGACTTTTCACACCCCAACTCTAAGTATTTGACAACAGGTTGTTTATCCTGACCATATATTTTCCAGTTCACTTTGCCATGTATTTTCTACCTAAAAAAACTAATCTCAACATTCTTTGTCCCTAGAGTTTAGTGTGTGTTTTCAGTACAGTGCCAAAACTTTCAAAAATGTAAATGATCTTGTCTCGACTGACTTATTCTTCAATCTTCTACCTGTGGCAGACTGAGCAGCAGTGACAGTACCCAGGCCACTACTATGAAGTGGTTACAGCGTTGGGTTGCACCGCTTCGGTGCGCCCGAAGGGGGCAGCAGATCGCATAGTGGCGGTCCATTGTCATGGCCACGATCATATAGGAGGAAGCGAACATGCCGAGGACCTGGAGGTACTTCACCAGTCGACACAGGAAATCCGGACCAGGGAAACGGCCCCTGGCGTCCCAGACCAGCTGCGGCAGCACCTGGAGAAGAACAACAGGCGGAGAGAAGAGGGAGATCTGTCCCGAGGTCGCAGTACGTTGTGGAAAGAAAATGAAAAAAAGATTCCAACTTTTGCAAATTCAATGTTAAACTTTTTTTTTTTTATAGTTTTGGTTCCAACAGAGGTTGAAAAACAATGTATGTGTACAAGGGTTAGTCACAATGTCCTAAGACAAATTGTAACAGTTTTATAGCAGTATCGTAGACAAACGATTTACTTAATCAGGTTTTTCAACCCTGGAAAATTAATGAATAACTAATGAACATAAATTACATTTTTTAATATTTTTTGTCAAAGCTTTTATACTGTCATGAATTAATATATTTGTAATTTTAATTTTATTTATTTTCCACTGCGTACTGTGTTACCTGAAACAGAGCAACCACCAGGTCAGCCAGACACAGGTTAAGCATGAATTGGTGAAGTGGATTCCGGTGTCGTCTCCGCTGCCGCAGCAGCACCACCAGCACCAGGCTGTTCCCCAGCAGGGCCATCACCAAGATGACGGCCAGTACCACCACCTCGGCCACAGCTAGCAGGTTGTCACGCTCCACATCTGTGCCGTTAGCACTCGCCGCAGTCAGTGGCTTGACAGATCCATGGATGGACGAGTCTGTTACCGTTGAGGCTGACATAATATCTAGGACAGACACAAGTACATGGAATCAACGTCCACACTGGTAAGTCCATTTTTTTCTGTTCTTATTAATGTTCCTCTAATATTTGAAGCCTTGACAACAAACAGTTTTTATGTCCTGACAGTGGGATTTGCTGCCACATCTGTGGCAAACAAATCAAAAAGTGTTGTTGTTTTTAGCTGCAATGCTGCCATCTAGTGATTTTCACTTTTATATACAGCCGTTTTCCCCAAAACTATTTTTAGGGCACACAACATTTGGCTAAACCCAGGCATTGCGTTATTGGGTTTTTATTATCGGAAGGAAAACCAAAAACGACTCTTACAGATATTACATAATATGATAATATCTGTAGGTCGATATTATCGGTCACCCCTAGGTTATGCGGTAAATAAACATTTTTTGTTGAGGCATCATTTAAAAAAAAAGCATCATAGACCATGTATGAGAAACAGTCAACATTTTCTGTCAACAAGTGTCTGTCTCTGTTTGGTTCTGTAGACATTAGTTTATGTGACGTGGCCTCGTGTTCATGGGATCAATGATCAGTGATGATGTTCGTCATCAGCACGTCCATTTAGACCATGAACTCTGAAATCTTTTCTCTGGAGTTGTCGAGCCTCTGACCACGTTGCCCGTGACCTGACCTCATTAGTTACCAAACATGAATGTTTGTGGTTAATTAGGCTCTACAGCCTCCTCCTCCCTCGAGCGTAGCCAGGAATGCGTCAGTGTGTTCGCTGTCATGCTTGTGGTCGAGAGTGATGCAACCTCTGCTATAATGAAGCCTGTGTCTGTGTGTGAACCATACACACTTACACACTTGTCTATGCATAGAAACAGTTTAATGGCCACGTTAATTGGGAATCAGTGAGGTATTTAAGAATTTGACCAATCAGTTTTCCACACGTTTACGGTTCAGCTGACACACAACGACACTCTCCCAGAATATGTGTTTGCCTGGGTGTAAAAAAGTAGAATTAGCTTCATAGTAAAGTTTTTCAACATACATATATGTAAGTATATATTTATATATTTTTTATTTATATTTTATTTAATATACTATTATATGTATGTAAAATATATATGTAAAAGTGTTTTCATGCTGGTACTGAAATATGGAAAGATTGTTTAAACAATTATTGAAAACATTTTAAAATAATTAAAACAGCATTTACGTTACGTCATTAGGTTACGTTTGGTTAAAAAATAATCCTCACGTCAGCTTGGATGTTTGTCCACTGATTTTGTTTGTTTGTTTATCCAACAAATTTCCTTATGAATTAAAAGCTTAACGTTAATTAGGTTTGTTTATCCAACAAATTTCTTTATGAATTAAAAGCTTAACGTTAATTACAAAACCCCTAATGAGTTTACAGTAGTCACTGCACAATAACAAACAAGTTGGTAACGTGATATAGTAAAACCAACGAAACACCGTCGCCTCTCGACAGACACACAGGTGAGGTTGACAAAGTGTAACTTCAGAATAGAAGAAATAAGCACTTCTGCAGAACGGTACCTAAATAAAGAAAGAGTTAACCTACAGATGTTAAAGCAGGAACATGAACATGGAAACTTCCATATGGAAATTTATAATAAACTGATAAATAATAGTAAAAAAATATATAGTAACAGTTACAAAATACACTAGAATTAAACAAAAAGTACGGGTGTCGTTTCTCAAAGCTGCTGAAGAACTGACGTTTTATGATGCAACAAAAACCAGAACTAACGACAGCACAGTGAAGTGTTTAGGATTCAACAGCTGTTGTGTTACAATGCTCTTCGAATTACAAACAATGAGGGCATTAAAAAAAAAAAATCTAAAATTATTCTCCTTCTAACCACGCTCATTTACAAATGAATCCAAAAAAGAACGCCTCTGTTAAATTGCACAGAGGCGTCCGCTGCCAAACACTACGTTCCATTATTCTAACCTGTGCCAAGTGTTGTCCAGAGCCGCTGCTTTTTTAACAAGCTGTCTGAGTTCTGACGGAGGTGATACTTCTCCAGGACAAAGGTCACAGGGTCAGCCGTCAGCCGTCAGCCGTCATCGGTCTGAGCTGGGCCTTCTGGTGCATGTCTCCTCAGACTCTGGTCCTCAGGACGTTGAAACGGTCTGATCTGGAGCAGACACAGCTGAAGTAGGAAACCTCCAGCTCATGGTTGTTCTGCAGCTCGATGACTTCAGGTTTTAGCTCTACTGGAGCAACTCAACTTGTTCCACTTTAAACAAATGAACAACTTCTGAGCCTGCGAGGAGTTTTGCACACTCATGTTCTAGTGTTGTGTTACCAAACAATTAAAAACAGGAAGAAGTCATGGCTGAATGCCAACACCAGTCAGCAATGGCAAGTACTTCATTCAAATACTCTGTAAATACTGTGTAAATACTCAAAGGCTGTTCATTAGAACCTGCTGCACTGATCTGTTATATACAATATTTGTATTTATTTAATCCTTACTTTTATGTACATATTCTCTAAGGCAGAGGTCACCAATCTTTTTGAAACTGAGCTCTATTTCAAGGGCACTTAGTAATTTGAAGAGCTACTTGTTCGATACAGACTTCCTGAACAATGTTATAATAATAAGTTCTGGGACATACGATAGCAGACACTCTCCTTACCATCGTCATTGCACCCATTTGAATATCACTGCAAGTGTAACTGACTGGTTTTATTTTGAGAACATACCCCACAGGCACCTTAGGTAGTCCATGGGCACCACGTTGGTGACCCCTGCTCTAAGGTGATGACAGTTTACCATCACCTGGCTCTAAACACTTGGGCTGAGTTCACACTGACGTCACCCTAACACCCACAGAGCGGTGACATCTGTGTAACAGTTATGAATTCATGTTCCTCAATGACAAAGACAATTTTGTCCTTTTAACTGTTTTTTTTGTTGTTGTTTTTTTTTGTTTTACAACGGGCCCAAATATCAGCCTTTGGTGACTATATATATATGTTTGGGAAACAGAGTGGAGAGAAGTCATATAACTCTCGGACATAACTATTTATTTACTAATGCTAACGGTTTTAATACCCTTATGGAAGTACGCCCATAATGTCTTCAAATGGAGGTTTTTGCTTGAGTGTTCCTTCATGTGTTGAAAAAAAATACAAATTAATAATTCAGCAGGTTCAGCCTTATACTGTTACTGGAGAGATTATCCTGTTATCATTTTATCCCATTCTCTTTTTGGGCGATCTCATAAAAATAAGGTTGCAGATCGTCACCATTTTGAGGTGGTAAGAAAATCAAAAATAATGGAAGATGATCAACTTACCCCGTCTTCATCCTCAGAGTCCTGGGAAGCATCTGTAGGAGCTTCAACAACCTGATCTGCTGTTGTACACAAGAGCTGCAACCACGCTGCGTCAGGGTCGCGTTATCTCCTCCCGCTTATTTCTCTGTGGCTGACCTCTGCCAGCTCATGTGTCCTCTCCTCCCACCCTGCCTCCACTGTCTCCTTTCTCCCTGCTCTTCAGTACGTCCCTCCGCGTACCTCCCTTTAGCATGACCAGAAGCAGACTGATGACAGAGTGGGGTTACCTGAGTGGAGAGTGAGTGTGTGTTGAAGAAACGACGTGACCCTTTGACAGGCTGCGCTGCGAAATTGATGTCATTTCCTGCGGATTCTTCAAATGTTGCCGTTGGTCCTTCCAGGGTTGACGCCCGTGTAAATGTCGGTGTATGTCAAAAAAGTTAATGAGATTTCTGCTATTAGCCTTTCAGGATGATCAAAGACCTGTGACACAGGCACTACACTAATGAGAACATGTGGGTTTGAATCAGGGGGTGGCAGAGAGGTCGCAGCACACCGTGTCAAACGTTGTAAACAGATGGGTGTTCAGCTGCACCTCTTCTACTTCTCATCCCTCACCCAGTGTTCTTCTCCAGCGCACATCTCGTTCCATTTTTTTTCTTTAACTCCCTCTGACAGGGCAGTCATTTATTTGCTTCCCCTCAATTTCACTCTCATTTGAAGGACCTCCTAATTATTGGGGGGCCCATTGGAGTGCACACCGAAGTATGAACACATGGGGCCCCGTCATGCTCTCATTCGCTCTCCTAATGTCACACTTGGCTTTCGAAAATGCACGATTGTTGCTGCAAATTGGTTCATTCAAAAGAAATTAAAGAGGAAATATGCTGTTGTTGTAGGAAGGTAACAGATAGATAGATGATTCTGAGTAAAGATCTACCATATTATGACTAGGCTGGGATGTAGCATGTTAACAGTGTTTAAGCGTTTATGATAGTGATTCGTACTACATGGTGAAACAGGGGCATCTCAGCAGTGGACAAATTCCTTTAATTGGTCTGAAAACAACAATTATTTTTTACTGCAAATTATGTCTATAATCGTCAATTAAAACCTCATCCTTTTGTGTCTTTCTTCAATTCCTGCAGGTTCACCAGCATAGTGTTTAATTAAACCAGCACACATTAGGTAAGTAAACTGTGAGTTCCATTTATATTCAGTATATTTACTTTATGTGACATTGTTTGGTGCATTGTGCAATTTTTGTAAAATGTAAAAACAATAAGTGGCTCAAACACATGTTAGGAAACATGAAAAACTGAAAAGAGGAAAATAAATAAAGAAGATAGAAACTTGTCAACAGGACTAATATAATGGGTTATTTCTAAATGTATGCTGCTACAACAGTTTAAAGAAAGAAAGTCTTTGCAATGAGGAAATTATTTTTTCACTAACAGGTAAATGAGGTACCAAATGTACTTTGTTTTGGCAACAACAAAGTCAGAGGGAAAAAGGGCGTTTGAACAAAGAGCACGAGATAAAATTAACAAAACTACAAACACAATTAACAAACACAAAACACACAGTTGCGGCACTTCTGGCAGACGGTTTCCTTAGTTTTGGATTTGCCATGTGATGTTTTCTTTCGTTGTCTTTCATGACTTATCTGATGATCTTATTTTAATTCAGTGATGAAATTTTCTTAACATTACAACCACTGTACAAGTGTAGCAGTCAAACAGAAGCATGTTGGCTCTCTGTGGAATACAAAGAGCTGCAATTACACCCGTATATGACAAGACCAAACCACACAAACACCAATACTTCTTACAGGGTTTTATTATAGGGATCAAACCACCGTCCAGAACGCCTCTAATATGAAGTCAAGTTGAACGACACCTGTGACAAATAATTTGAATTTCTATCTCGATTTTAAGGATTTGCAGAAGTAATGTGTTTGTTTTCATTAGGACTGATGTAGTCAGGTCTGCTGTCACAGGACACCGCACAGTACCTGTCTTTCAGATGCTTCGTCGGGTTCTGAACTGCATTCATGATACACTGAACCACCTCGGAGGTGGAGCTGTGCCCCCCCAGGTCAGGAGTGAGCATCTGAATAACAAAATACACACAGAGACAAATCGTGGTTATTTACTAAAACTACAGAACCCCAGGAGGTACGATTGAGACGGCCTCACCTGAGTCTCTGTGACAGTGGAGAGGACGGCTCTGCGGATTGTGCTGGCGTAGTGGTGCAGCCTCAGGTGGTCCAGCAGCAGACAGGAGGCCAGCAGCATGGCTGTGGGGTTTGCCGTGTCGTGTTTAGCGATGTCCTTTCCTGTGTTCCTAGTTCCCTGCACAGTCAAAGGGTTGCGTTATGATAATATCTGTCTGTTTTTTTTTTTTTTAATTTCCCTCAAATGTTCACTTTCAGTGGTAAACTATACCATCAAGGTGGGGCATATTCTGCATTTAGTTCATCGTTACACCCCGCGTCAGGATGTGAGTCTGAACCACATTAACTGGAAACAGAGACATGTGTGAACGTTCTCACCATTTCAAACACAGCGTACTCCTTCCCATAGTTGGCCCCGGGAACCAGACCCGGCCCTCCAACCAGACCTGCACACACATTACTGACAACGTTTCCGTACAGGTTTGGCATGACCATGACTTCAAACTGCTGAGGCCTGGAAACAAGCTGACACACACACACACACGCACACACACACAGCTGTCGATCATGTTTGCAGAGTAAGTGACTGTTACCATCTGTACGAGAATAAAGATTGGGTTTGTTTAATCCTCACTGTAACTGTGTGAGTCAGTATGACATCAGGTGCCACCTGATCAATGGGACGTTTGACACAGTGTTAAAGAAGGCGGCAGTCACCTGCATGGCAGTGTTGTCTACAATCATGGTGTCAAATGTGATTTCAGGATAACCACTGGCGACCTCCTTACAGCACTCCAGGAAGAGGCCGTCACTCAGCTTCCTGCTCCAGGGACCGCAGACACATTAGCATGTGGCCACAGGTTGTTTTCCGTACACAGAAAAAGAACGATTCAAATACCAACGGGGTCAGAAACTGACATGATGTTAGCTTTGTGCACAGCTGTCACCCGTCCACGTCCGTTCTCCCGAGCTGTTCTGAAGGCGTAGTCGGCGATACGTAATGACTTTGTCCTGGTGATGATCTTCAGACATTCGACAACTCCAGGAACACTCTGCACAGGCAGAAACAGGATTAAATGATGACGCTGAATCTGCTCTGTTCGGACAAAAAAGGTGAAGCTCAGGTTCATCACAGAAAACACATTTTGAAGACGCTATAAAAAATATAACACACACTAGTTTATTGTGCACCGTGTGTTGCAGCAGGTAAAAACATGTTTTGTTCGTGAACTTGTATTTTATTCTGCTTCTCCATCTACGCTTCAAAATAAGTACCAGGTCTAAACTTAAGGCTGCAGTACCGGCTCCAAGACATCGGGGGGCAGCAATTAGACAAAAACAGTTCTACAGATACGGTGAACCTTATGTACCTCGTGCTCCAGGCTGCTGTACTCGCCCTCCGTGTTCTCCCTGATGATCGTGATGTTGATGTTTTCGTGGCGGGTCCTCACTCCAGGGAGAGACTGGCAGTGCATCACATTGGCATAAAGATCCAGAGCTGTGCTGCAGTCAGACAGGGAACAGACAGGAAGTCTCAACCATCAAGTGATTCTTCTAAATCAGTGGTTCTCTGTACAACCAGAGAAAACATTGAGCTCTCTGAGTACCACCATGATGACCAACTTTAGAATATAGCAGCGTAGGCCTTCACTATTAGCTTCCACCACACAGGAGAGGTGTATATAAAAGTCTATGTTTAAATGTTGTATTAATCGTGCATGGCATGTTTCAGATTTAGTCAATTGAAAATGTAAATTAAGAATTTTCCCCACGTACCACTACAGAGCGCTCGCGTACCACAGTTTGAGAACCACCGATCTAATATATACAACCAGTTTTTGAAGTGAGGTGCCCCCCCCTCACTAATTGGTATGAATGATTTCATCAGACTAATTCGTAATTAGGTGTGAGCTGATAATCCAGTTAATTTGACTTTTCCCACGTCTCTCCTGATGATGAAGGATCATAGTCACTGAGCTCATTATTTAACAACCTTCCAGTAAGTGACAGGTTTAATCCTCTTATCTTGTTTATGAAACGTCAGCCTGCAGGAGCAGAACTACTGTAAGTCCCACCTTTTCTTCTTTTATTTCAATCACATGATTAATGGGAACACATAGTAAACTGCACTCACCGGAGCAGACAGTTTCGGGACTTGTAAGATGGCGGCGAGTCGTGGTTGGTCTCAATGTTACCTATAAGAAGAAAAAAAAACAACAGCTCATATATATACGTATACTTTACATAGTCATAAACAAATCATGTATAATAGAAATTAAAAGAAAACATCCATGGGTTCGTTCTGAAACAGTCTAGACCAGGAGTGGACCCAGAGGCCACAATTGTCCTAAACTTGAACACGGGGTCCTGGTCAGGAGCAAATGGATGGAGCCTTCATGTGAACTAAGATAAATGACATGTAGAAATCATGCGTAAAGGCTATACTTTTAGCATTTTCTACGCCATCTATTGGGGAAACTTGGGTATTGCATGGAAAAGGCAGAAGTATAATGATAATATAAATAAATTATATAATTTGGAAAAGCTTGGCTGGCCGGGTTAATAATCTGAATGGGCTGCATCCAGCCCCCGGGCCATAGTTTGCCCATGCCTGGTCTGAACTGACCTTTTAGTGCAACACGGTTGCGTTTGATGGCAATAATGGCGTTATTGATGTCAACTTCTGAGGCCTTGGTGGAGTCAATGTCAATGACCTCAAAGTCCACTGGTACACAGCAGATCCTGAAAGGAGAAACAGGTGACTGTGACAGAAGAGATTTATTTATATTTATTTCAGTCTCATGAGTGTCTTTTTGATGCCGTTATGTTCATTTCTTCTCTAAAATTTTTCCCCTGAAGGAAATAGAAAACATGTCCATTCTTGGTATTTTCTGTTGTTATTATTATTATTATTTTGTATAACTCTCTGCCAAAATATGCCGGATATTGTTTTTCTAAACGAGACTTGGACATTACCTGAACATGTCCTGTACATGTTGGGCCAGTTCTGGTCCGATGCCATCTCCAGGAATCAGAGTCACTGTGTGTCTTCCTCCATATTGTGCAGGTGGAAGCTGCATTTTACACATTTTACACACACATACAACTTACTTAAAACTTTTCTTTTCTTGTACAAATACGAAGCAGACATACCACTTTTGAGCATGTATGGGAGGAGAAGAGTGTAAGTTGTCATTAAATTGAAACCGCAAGATCGTTGCGTTATATAACATTCCTGATCGGTGGTTCTCTGTGTGTTTTTTTTTTTAATATAAATTGTGTGCTGTGGTTCACAAATGACAGAAACACTATAGTAAACAGTGTGGTGCTGAAGGACAGCGACACTGACCCACAGAAGAGGTGAACAGCCAATCAAGTCCGTCCGTATGCGGTGGTTAACCAGTAAAGACCACTTCACCTCATACAGTATAATGAGAATAACTGACCGTCTTACCCTGGAGGACCAGCTGCAGAACAGACGTCTTAGTGATCCAGGCAGAAAGCGGGCTGTCATGTTCACTCTCACCGAGGACCTAAGGATGGATCACGGTGTCTGCCCGCCGCTTATCCCGGTTTCCTTCCGTCAGGTCTTTAAACTTTGGATGTTCGTACTTTTCCACCTTACCCCGCAAGTTACACAGCGTGTAATTGGACAGCCAGATCCTCTGATCTTTTTCCCCTGTCGAAAGCGTTGATAAGTGACGTCATCAAAGCGTGCAACTTTTTTCGCTGTCTTTGATCATCATTGTCTATTCACTCCTTCGGCATTTCCTCATCATTTTTCCATCGCTGGTACTTCAAGTCGTGGAGGACGTCACAGAATTCAAACGAAGAAAGCGACAACTTTTAACAATACAGTCACTTGACATGGGATCTTGTTTATTTCCCCCGTGGCTTCAGGTATCTTCTAATTCTACATTCGGTAACAATGAAGGATAAAAGAAACCAAGTCTTTGACTGCTGAGGATTTAGCTGATTAAAGTGAAGATTCATTTGTTTGAACTTGTAGAGGGCAATAAAAAAAGCTACTGCTTGCAGATAATAAATAATTCAATATTAAATAAAGGAACAACCCGATTTTGGTAATGAATAACAATGCATTACAAACAAATGTTTGCATGTGATAACTAATGGATTAAAGAGACTACAGTGAGGTAAGGCAGGCAAAGCAGCAGTGATGTAAAGTCACCCTTCTTAGTGGAAGAACATCAAAATCAAGAGCGATTAAAAAGTAAAAAAACTAGCTTTCAAAGCCGGGAACAACAGCATAATACTGACGAAAGCAGGTAAAAATAATTAAACATGCTGGAAAACTGTTTAGTTTAAGAAGTTCTTTATTCGTGCAATGGCGAAATTTACATTGTTGACAGCAGCAAAGGTACAGTACAGAGTAAAAGAGTATATTTTCATGAGATATTACAGCTGAGATAATAAATACATTGACTAGTGCAAATGATGATAAAATACAGAAAAAACAGATTGTGAATAATAACAGTAGCAAATAATTTTACGTATTAAGATTTAAACCGCGATACATAAATTGAACAGGTGAGCGATGTTGCACCTAAAATGTAGATATTGCACATACTATTGTTATTCACACAAGGGAATGCTTGGTAAACAGTAAGAAAAGGTTAAAAAGCCAAATGTAACACATCTTCACACTTGGCAGACATATATTAATGACGTTCGTCTACGCAGGTGAAGATACCAAGGAGACGAGTTCTTACATGTTTTAGAGACGCTTTGACCCGGTCGATTCTCTCACAGCCCTAGATGCCGTTAGTTTACTTCACAATACTATTTATGTTGGATTTCCTATCTATCTCATTGGTTCGAATCACTTCATCGATGTATTTATTTTTCGTAATTATTAAAGACTGGTTATAAATGTGCCTCTGTCATTCTTATGCCTTCGTCAAGAGGAAAAACAAACAAACAAAACAAACAGAATTATTAAGAATACTGCTGCGCTGAATACAACCACTGGGAGGCAGCAAAGCTCCAAAACAAAAAACGTTATTCTACCTGTTACACCATTCGGTCATTTTATTCACCGAGAAAAAACAAACTAATTTAAGTCGCAAGTGTTTTTATTTACACGTTTTACAAAAATATAGTTTCTTGATATAATAACACCTACTTTGGGTGACAATGAATTTCGGCTTTATTTACATCAGCGACCGCTTTTTAAAGGTCTACTTGCACGAACGTGCGAACCTGTCTATCTAACGTGTAAATACCCTAACAGTTTTCAAGGTTTCCAGTTGAAACACTTGTAGACACCTTGAAGAAATTCTACTCTTCAATTTTTTTTAATCCCCGTTCGTCTTCGCCGGCGTTATACTGGGAGATGTAGGAGCTTTTGCCGCGGTCTCCACCGTATCGTTAGTACGACGTGCTCGGTTGTAAGACAACATTTCCCAGCGTTCTTCGCGTCGGCGCCTCCTCCCCACGCTCCCTCCGCCTTCTCTCCCACTCCACTGGGCCGCGAGGAAGTCGCAAGATGGCTGATGTCGTTTGGAAGTAATGTTCCCCTCTGCAACATGAAGCCGTGAGTGTAGAAGAACGCGAGGGAGGCACCATCGGGCGTTTGTTTTTATTTTCTTTAGTTCATTTTATTTTATTTCGTCAAACATCCATCTCATTCCGCGTCGTGTCCACCCGGGACTTGTCTTCGGGAGTTGACGCGTCAAATCACGCCGGGGACCCTGCCAGCGGCTAACGGCTAGCAACACCATTAGCAAATATCGGCAGAGTTCGTCAGCCACTCTGTCATACAGATTGCAATTACCGCTGTTTTTAATTTACACGATTTCTCCGACGACCACCGAACTGCCCGCTAAACACACTGAAATCTGGCCCGAGTTATCTAAAAATATATGTCAAAAATATTCAGCCTGAATCGATTTTTAAAAGCTCCTCGGCTTAAGATCATGTCCGGAGTGGCCATCCAGCCTGTAGGTTGCTAACTAATGCGCAGTGTTGACTTAATTTTATGTGCAAAATTCAACGGGAACATTACTTTTCATACATTTTGACAATAATATCTGTCAACCTGCTGCTTTTCCGTTACTTACTGTCAACCACATTTCGGAAGCAGGTTGTGTTACAGTTAAATTATGGGCGCGGAGAACTTTTTCTGACTCGGTAGCTGCACTGGCCTTGCTGGCACTTCACCAAAAATCCACAGGGATGGACACTAAACGGAGGAGCCACGACCACAACTGAAAGAATTGGCTTTTTAACCTGAACACAGCAGCGTTGGCCGACACGGTTGTGTAGCTGTGCGCGGTGATTCATTTCACAGGTCTGACAGATAAGTAGTTTTGTGAGGTGAACTTAAGTACAGTTTAGCCTACACCGGAGACTAGTTAGCTTGCCTTAAGTGCACAGCTAGCTGCAGTCTCGACCCACATCTCATTATAAACACGGCGTACAGAACGTATTCAGAGCCCGCTCCCGGCCAAACACACAGGCTAAACAACACCGTCATGGGAGTGCAGGGTTTTCAAGAATATTTAGAGAAGCGGTGTCCCGGGGCCACGGTCCCCGTGGACCTTCTAAAGCTCGCCCGTACTGCGGCCCGCCAGCCACCACACCACCATCATCCACACCACCACCCACATCACCCCGGGCCCATGCCTCCCCCGCCCCCGCCTGCCAGGATCCTCATCGACGCTGACTCCGGCCTGCAGCGCCTTTACGGCGGATACCAGACGGACTGGGTCTGTGGGGGCGAGTGGAACGCCATGCTGGGATACCTGGCCGCCCTGTCGCAGGCCTGCCTGTACCAGGGTGGCCTGGAGCTAGTTGTGGTTTTCAACGGCACTTTGGGGAAGGAGCGCTGGCCCGAGTGGGCGCGGCGAGCTCAGGGCCAGCGACAGACGGCGCAGCTGATAGTCAACCACGTCGGCAGCAAGGCCACCCCGCCTCCCCGGGCATGGTTCCTGCCCCCGGCTTGCCTCAGCCACTGCGTCCGCCTCGCCATGTTCCGCTTCCGAGTGCGGGTGAGCAAAGTGATAATGGCTCTGTCAACTTGCTATACTCTAATCACTGGATGCCTTTCATTTGCAACAGTTGCCTGTTATTGCAGCACGTCCATTTAGTAGCTTAGAGCATGCACATTCACTGCTTTTGATTTGGTTTGCAAGTGTAAGTGTCTGTTTCCACAGTTTAAAAAGGAGTCATTCTGGGCTGTCAACGGCCCTGATTTATATTTGCCCTGACAAAGATGTAAAGCTGAGTTGTCTCTCTGAAGCTTTGTAGTGTTTTGATTAAAGTGATTGTGTGAAAGGTGTCACAGCAAAAAAGGCATAATATTCAGGAGTTGACCAGAAATAGCCAAAATATAATACAGTAATTTAATGAACCACACGAACTATTTAAATAAGCCAAAGGAAGTATGCAGTATTTGGTCTGTGCTCATCGCCAGAAATGACACATTTATTAATATTCAAATTTGGGAGACAGACCGGTGCTTATCAGGATGGAAAGGTATGTCAGTGGAAAAAGTTTCCCATTAGATGGCACTGGTGGGACTCAAAGGATGCAAAACTGTTGATAAAACCCAAACAAATGCCAGGTGGGCTGATTCAGCGGGATTAGTTAATCTTAAATAAATTATTGGACCTTTTGTATTTCACAAAACAATTTGAACATAATTTGAGTCTAGTTTTATGCTGAAAAGTTTTCAAATAGGAGGTTGTTTTTTTTAATCTATTATAGTGTTTTGTCACAGCAACAGTGGAGGTGAATATTTTCACAGAACAGTGAAGCTCCATATTATGATGATTGTTGGTTCTTCAGTAGGCAGTTTCTGAATTTAAGGCTTGATTTTGTTTAAAAAGGTTTTAGGGATTTAAATGATTATGCTTATACAGAAAATGTTATGTACTACCAACTCCTGGACCAGGATATAACAACCAAGGGAAAGAACAGAGTTTTTGTTTGTATAGGTGATGTCCCAAAGAATAAATTATTGGATATCTCTGGTGAAAAGTCTTTTGAATATCTCTCATAAATTCTCTGTGTGGTTTTGATCTGTCAGTCGTCGCCTCCTGGTTAACAGGCTTGTGAATCCTTATCCAGAAATATCAAAAGCTCATTGTACAACGTGACCTACTGTAGCCTATATATTACATAACATGAACTCGATGAACCTCTTATTTATTGTTTAAGTACTGTGGACTGGCTCACGCTGTTGAAAAAATGCTAAAGCAGTGCTGACTATTTTAATTCATTATTTACTTTTATTATTCTATTTGTCCTTATGAAAATGTATCACAATTCATGAACCTCCCTGGAGTACACACAGTGTATTTTGTCTCAGATTGAAATACATTTTAGCTCACTGTGAGGTGTTAGTTTGAAGTAAAAATTGAGTTAAGAAAAATAAGATGTTACATTCAGTTATTATGTGTGAATGCAACAAGTTAGGCATGTTTTTTTTTCCATTTGGTGAAGGTTGTCTGACTTTTTGCCTTTGATTTGTCTCTCAACCCCCATGTGTTCTAGTATTAAAAATAGCAACGCTAAGCTATCACATACGCTGCCACAGAAAGGGTGTCTGTTTAAACAGAAGCCCACCACATTTCTGCACACCCCGTTCTGATACATCACGAGGGTCATTACTCACAGATAATGTGGAAATCTGTTTTTTCTTTATCTTTTTTTAAATCTGAGAAGCAGTCACTGCACCCGCTG